TATCTGTAGACAGGTCAAAACCATTACTGGAAATTCAAACCAAGTCAACGAAATGTACACGTTATTTGAACAAAAGTATGTGATTCCTGTAAATAGTTGACTGGGTGTAAAACTGTCTCGAAATTAGTCTGTTTTAGCTTTGCTTACTATTTACTATAAGTCGAAAACCGAGTGGAATAGTATGGCGTACTGAGGTTTTCACAAATCTATGAAAAGACAAATTCAAGTAAAATACATTTCGAAGCAATTATAAAAGAAAAGACTTTTTGGGAAAACACGAATTGATCACGCTCTAAAATTAGCTTAAAGTTAACCACCGCATGCAAAATGAGCAAGTAAAAAATTGTAAAATACTGAAGAGACTAACTAAAGACTAAACAGTATCACTTTATAGAAAACACTTTTCTTTTTAAATATATAATGGGGAACTGTGCTGTCAACCATTAAGAAATACACTATAGCCTAATATAGTTAATTTAAAATGTTCCCAATACATATTTAATAATCGGATAAAATGAAAGCCTTATATAATATTATTTATAAATTCAAAACGATTATCTAAAAAATCGCATAAGAAACATATCCATCATAATTAAAGCAAAAAAAGAAACTTTGAGAAACTAGAAATTTGGACGGTTATACAATGATACACGTATACGGTGGAGTATACTTTACCTATACATATAAATAATCGGTTAGTTTAAAATTTTATAGACGTAATACCACAATGATTGACGTTTATGCCTCAGAGGAAGGTAAAAAGGAAAAATTAAATATTTATTAGATTATAGGAGATGATTTAAATACTAAAAGTAGTGTAGTATAAGAGTAATGTTTGTTATTACTCCTTCTTTTTGTCCGTTGTGCCCTATTTTGAGCACTTTTTATCAAATTTCTTAACATTTTCTTGAGATCGTTAGTGCAACGAGTAGGGGGTCTTTCTCTACTTCTTTTGTTTAACCTCGGCCTCCATGTAAGCAATCTCTTCGTCAACCTTTCATCACTGATTCGGGAGACGTGTCTAGCCCAGTTCCATTTCAGTGTGACAATTTGGGATATTACATCGGTAACTCTGGTTCTTCGTCTTCATTTCTAACTCGGTCACGAAGAAATATACTCAGCATTGATCTTTCCATTTTCCTCTGAGCTATTTGCAGCGTTTTAGAACTCGTAGCTATCAATGTCAAAGTTTCGGCACCATAGGTCATCACAGGCAACAGACATTGGTTAAATGTTTGACGTTTTAAAGAAATTGGTATATCGCTTTTAAAGATATCTTTCAGTTTTCTATAGGCTGCCTATGCTAGGTTTATTCGTCTTTATAGTTCGAATGTTTGGTTGTCTCTTGTGATCTTTATTTCGTGTCCAAGATACATATATTTTTCCACCAGCTTTACTTCGATGCCTCCAATATTGATATTTCCGCTAGGAACTAGGTTTGTCATGAATTTTGTTTTGGAGATGTTTATTTTAAGACCCACACTGGCACACACTAACTGAAGTTCATGTAGCATTGTACATATCTCCTTGAGGTTGTCCGAGAACAGAGTATGTTGTCTGCGAATTTCAAATTTGTTGATCTCCTACCGGCAATATTCAGGTCTTTCTCTTCCCACTTACGTTTTTTACAAGTATATTCTAGTACTGCGGTAAACAGTTTAGGCGATAAGGTATCACCCTATTGGACTCCTCTTCCGATTGAAATATGATCCGTGTTATCATATAGTTTCACCGACATAGTTGCGTATGTATCTTCTATGTATAAATTAACATTGTATATCGGTAGTCAATGCCGCATGCTTGTAGTAACTCCAGGATTTTGTCAAGTTATACTGTGTCCAAGGCTTTACGAAAATCTACAAAAGCCAGAACGAGTGGTCGATTGTATTCGATAGCCTTTTCTATTGCCATTTTAATGCTCTATAGGTGATCATTTGTTCCAAATCTTTCATTTGTTCCATTTGTTTTTATGCAGAATTAATGCAGAAAAAAAGAAAAATGAGAAGCGAGACGGAAACTAAAGCCGACTAAGTACAAAAAATAAATAAGGAAATATCCAAAGCTGTTAGACAAGACACTCGAAAATACAACCAAGAACAAATCGAACATATCATTGAGAACAGTAGAAGAATGAAAGTATTGAGAAACAGACTAAGAACGAGGACAAGGCAGATAATAAAAATTAAAGATAAAAATGGTCATCTTACAGCCAATATAGAGGAAATTCTTAAAATAGTTGAAGACTTCTATAAATTGAAGTACACAAGACAACACAAAGCAAATAGCAGAGAAGATCAAGTACCAGAAATATTAACAAGAAAAATGGGCATTGTCAACCAAGGATCAGAACTACTACCGGAAATTACAATAGACGAAATAAAACTAGTCCTAAAAAAAGCTAAGAATAAGAAATCTCCAGGCCAAAGAAAATCCCCATGAATTAGAAAACTACAGACCAATAAGTCTTCTTAGTCACCTATACAAAGTCCTTACAAGAATAGTAACGCATCGTCTTCAGAAAAAAAGTGATTTCTACTAGTCAATAGTGCAAGCGAGATTTCGTACCGGATTTGGTACAAATCATCACATACAGAGCATTAAAACGGTAATAGAAAAGAATATCGAATACAATAGGTCACTCGTCACGAATAGGAAGAAAATCCAAACAACACAAAACTGGATAATCAGAGAAGCACTGAACCTACCTCAATACGTTCCACTGAGGTATTTATTCAGGGACTCTGGACAGAAAAGAATCCTAAGGACAATGGACGAAAGAGCAAACACCATTTTCAATGGTCTCGTAAATCATCCAAGCAGGACATTAAGAGAGTTGACAAACTACGACATAAACACTAGAACGGTACATAAACGGCCAAAGCAACAACTTATTGGATATAGAGAAGAAGGATAAATGAAGAAAGAGATAGACACAGAGCCGACTACAGAGTATATTAGACAGTGAGCACCAAAAAAATATAGTATATAAGAACAATATACACCGGGGTGTGTGCAGGCACTATACACCCGGGAATGCACACCCCACCACACGCACACTTAGGTTAGATTAAGTTTAGATTAGAATAGGGAAAACAAAAAACACAAAAAACACACACGGAGTGTGTGAGAGCGTTATACACTTGGGAATGCACACTCCATAGTTAAGGTCCATAGTTAAGATATTAGCATAGATAGACTTAGTTTAAAAAAAAAACAAAAATCGCTCACTGTCTAATTAATGTCATGTCATCTTCAAGATAAACAAGAACACCCGTTACATCACAAAAATTTACATAACACAAAATAAGAATGTATAAAATGCCCGTCAGGCACTCTATACCAGCCAGCAGGCACAGGCTTTTCAGGCAGATCAAATATTGATCAAACGCGGACTCTGAGCATCGAGGTCATGTGCGGCAAGCATGGGCTCGGTGGCCAGGACTCACTTCTCGAACACCCAGCCGGCGAGGAGAACAAAATTTTTATTTTGTCAAATCGGCGACTGAGTGAACGAGCACACACATTCTTTTCCAGACAGAGAGCTGTCGGTCTAGACCGATGGCTCTCTGTCTGGAACACACGCTCTTTTTAGGGACATGAGTCCCGAAGTAAAGCTAGAGTAACTTCTATAGAGTCAGTAAAGTTAAATAGGGAGAAAAGCCGACATGTGTGCTACCCCTACAGTTAGGTGGCCTAACCACAGTCATTAAAAACAGAAGGTGTCTCATTACCCAAGACACCTTACGTAACATTCAGATCATAAGCCTCCTCACGTAAGTCACACGCTGAGGAGGGGTGGAGGAAAAGCCTGGGGGTCAGATAGGTACCACCTCAACTAGTGAGGTGTAACCGGTTTGATTTTCGGACATGTGGATCCCACTCTTACAGTGGTATACACATGTCCCTAGGGGTAGGGTTGATCGCCTCGCGTGATTGTGTGCGTGTGTGTGTAGGTCACTCGTTCTGGCTTTTGTAGATTTTCATAAAGCCTTTGACACGATAGAATTTAACAAAATCCTGATAGCACTACAAGCACGCCGCATTGACTACCGATATTCAAGGTTAATTTACAATACATACAAGAACGCAACTATGTCGCTGAAACTATATACATATATGTGTGGCTTCAATAGTGGCAACTTCATAATGTATTCGTCCCAATATTTGTATTTTAGTAATTATTTGTCCATAAATGTACGTTAATTAAACGAATAATTTTAAATTGCCACATTAGATATATACACTTAGATTGTCTGGGTGGTGTATAATCTTGAAAAAGATTTTACATAGTAATTTTATCCATTTTTTTCTATTCAGTACAATGAACTCGAGGCTCGAGACTTTCAGTACAATGAACTTTTGTCTGAAGACATTAGAAAAATCTAACGAAATATAACGAAATCGTTGATAAGAGTACACTTTGGCTTTTAATATTCAGCTGCTAACCGAATGAACCGCTTTTTCGACATTTCAATTCCAATAGTGATCTCTTCTTGGAGTTGTTCGACATCCACATCTTCGTCATTATAATTACTCATTTGAGCAGATTGAAAAAGGTCCCAACTTCAAACAATCTTAAAAATTTTTTTTATTGTGACGGTTATTTGTGACGCATATTTTTAAGTAAAATTAAACAGCTGAAATAAATATTAAAATAAATCTTCTTTTTTAATGGTTCTTTTGTAACAATGACTACTAATGGTATATAGATTAATATTGTGAAAGCAAATAACACCATTCCTACGGTTTGATAATTAATTTTTTTGTTAAATAATAATTTAAAACACTTCAGATTAACATCAATACTTTGTCCGAAAGACTTTCACCAGTTGTTAAACTTTTTATGTTCCTAATTGAGCAATACATGGTTAGTCTCCGCTCGTTACAAAATTTACTATTATAGTCATCGAAAGCGATGAACAAGTTAGTAAAACGGGCTTCTTGTTTATTTGTGGTCAAGTGATAGATTGTTGTTTATCTGCACTCTTTTTAAGTCAAAGATGTCACCGACACCAACTTACATAGAAAATATTAGTACCGGAGATAGTGATAACAAGAAGAAAGCTTTTCCGTATGAGATTGTACAAGTCTGTGATAAAACAAATCAAGAGTTACTAAATTTTTTTAAAGGTAAGTCCTATTAGTAATCATTTTTATGCCCATGTTGTATATAGTGGAGCGGATAGCTCAAAGTATAATGTTTGATCATGTGTTAGATTCGGGTTCGATAACTTGCTGAAGCGAAACCAAAACATGCAAACTATCCTGATATGCACTATATGTAGCCTGATTTAATATTTTTTTGTAAAATTAGTTAGAAATTGTCAGGAATAAAATTATTGTTTTTCATTTCCGTCTTTTTATGTAGGCATGCCTGTTTTTCAATTTTCCTTCCGTAAGTTGTCGTTCCATTGCTTTCATGCGCTTCCCAATAGTTGTCTTTCAATGGGGAACCGTCTTTCGCTTTCTTTACTTCTCTATTTTTAATCATTGTATCTGTACTTCTAGCGCTGTCACATAGTATCTTACCATTAATTTTCTTAAGTGTTTTCATCTCTGATATTTATAGCATTGTTTTTTGTCTGTATCATAGCTGTCATTATTGGTCTAATGACGATTTTGTTTTTTTATTATTGTATAATGGTTTTGGATAGCTAATTAGTAAGAACTGTTTTGTAAATTCTACCTCTCAGTTTTTTCCTTTCTTCTTCTTCTTCTTCTTCTTCTTCTTCTTCTTCTTCTTCTTCTTGCTTCTAGTATGTAGGCTTTAAAGCCTGTTTTTCTTTAATATTAGCCTCCTAAATTGTTTAAATTGTCGCACCATCTTTTTCTTGGTCTGCCAATATTTCTTTGTCCATTTGGTGACTTATCTCGTGCTATTCGTACTATTCTATCCTCTGACATTCTACTGATGTATTCGTTCCACTCCTGTTTTCGTTTTTTTATCCATTCCTATGTTTTCGCTGTACTTCCTTTCCAACAGACTTCTCCCTGATATTCTTCGGAGTATTTTCATCTCTGTTGTTTCTAGCAGTCGCGTCGTCTCGATTTGGATGTGTCAGGTCTTGTCTCCGCCGTGTATGTTAATATAGGTCTAATTGCTGCTTTATACATTTTTCTTTTTGTGTTTCTTATCTTAGGTGTTTGTTCTTCCATATTGTGTCATAAAGAGAATCCGCCGCTTTGCTTGCTTTTAAGCTTTGTTGTCGTACTTTTTCTTCAACATCTCCGTAACTAGTTATATATATTCCCAGATATCTAAGCCTTGCTTCCTGATTTATTATTTTCTTATCAATTTCGATTTTACTCCATAGTGGTTATTTCGACATTTTCATACATTTGGTTTTTTCTGCTGATATTATCATATTGTATTTCTTAGCTGTTATATTGAAGATATGTGTTAATCTTTGGAGCTCGTCTTTTGTATCGGAGATAAATACAGCGTTGTCTGCATAACATATCAGTTGGATTTCTTTGTTCCCGATTCTGTAGCCATGACCTTTACGTACTGCTTGTACTATTTAGTCCATTATTATATTATAGAGAGGTGGACTAAACGAGTCACCCTGTCTGATTCTGCTTTGAACTAGCATACACTGTGTTAGTTTTCCATTTATCTTTGCCTGTAGTCGATTATAGAGGTAGATGTTTTCGATGGTTTGTATAATATTGATTGATATGTTTCTTTTATACAGTAGGTGTAAGACGTGTTCGACTTGGATGCTATCGAAAGCCTTTGTCAGGTCTATAAAACATAGATATGCTGTTTATTGAACTCGTTTACTTTTCTCTGATTTGACTTAGTACAAATGCGGCATCTACTCAGGATCTTCCGGATCTGAATCCTTGTTGTTCATCTTAGAAAGTTGTTAGTTTATTGATTTTGTTGGTTAGGACTTTTGTGGTAAGCTTAAGTGCGCTGATCACTAGATTTATATCTCTATAATTGTTGGGATCTTCTTTATCTTGTTTCTTGAACATTGGTATCATTATGCTGTTTCTCCATGCGTCTTGTAGTGCAATATTCGTTTTTGTATAAGTTTTGTCATCTGTAGGGCTATACTTTCTCCTTTGTATTTTAGAAGCTCGTTGGTTATTCCGTCTGGTCCTGGTGACTTTCTATTTTTGAGTAATTTTATGGCTATTTCTACTTCCTGAAAACTGATTTCTATTTCGTGTCTTAATTCAGGTACGTTATTGTGTTGATTATTATTTTCCTTTACTTTAAAAAGTTCCGTCCTCAAATATGAGGAAATGCAAGGAAATGCAGCAAATGAAATATTTCTATTTCACCTTCAGATATACTAGTTAATTTTGACATTGTTTCTTTGTTCACCAACATCCCCATCGATGAAACCATTTCCATCTTGGGCTCTAAACATCAAATCCCCTAAGACACACTATCTCTTATAAAACACTGCATGTCTAATACATACTTTTCATTCCAAAATCATTTCTATCGTCAAATCAAAGGTGCCCCAATGGGATCTCCCCTCTCTCCTGACAACAGCACTACGAGCTGTTAGTTTAATATTCCCTGGTCATTTTGATGCCCTTTATTTGTGCCAAGTGATTATTCTAATTCCAAGCATCAAAAAGTTTTTTAATGGAACTGTTGACCTGACATTGTACTAATAATGATGATCAGGAAACAATTTTCTTATCAGATATATGCTTTGGTTTTTTTTCTTAAAACTTGAAGATCGTTGTAAATTTTTTGCACTCTGGATCAATGAATCATTTCAATGAGCAGTTCGTGCTATATTACAAAACAAAATTGTTAATAATTTTGATCATATATACTCGTACAAAGCTACAATTACATAAAAATTAATTAAATTAAATATTTGGATATTTTTCAGGGGAGAAAGACAGATTTTTACAAATAGGTCCAAAGAAATGGCTTTTTCCAAGTGGATATGAAGCTGAAGCAGCAAATTATTACAACTTTTCAATTAGATCGGATGATGTGTTTGTAGTTACCTTTCCTCGTTCAGGTACTTAATTTATAATTTATTTTTAAAATGTATATACTGTGTGTCTCAAACAATCTTATGCAATTAGAGAAGAGCTTATCTTACATTTCAGGGAAAAAAAAATAATTTTATAATGCTCTACATGACCTGGAAATCCATAATCAAGTATATTAATTACAAACCGTTGGTTTGAATATAAGGGGAAAATAAAATATATTGTTTTTTAGTGAAGAGTAAAATATGTTCGAATTGAAATGGAGAAACAATGTTCATTTAATTTTTACACTATTTATTGAATAAAATAACAAGAAAATAACTTTATCCTGATTAACTTCTTAACAGCAATTACATTCATAATGTCTACCCAAGTAACTGATATAATTTACAAAGTAACTTCAACTTCAATGTATCACTTTCTAAGCAGGTAATTGTTCTTTGATTAAATCCATTAATGGCATTTATAATTATATCAAGTAGCTTCATAATATTTTTTTTCTACTCTCTTACTAGTAAATTTTGTATTACCTACTATTTGGATGTTAAGTAAATGCATCATAACAGATACTGACACGTAATGACTAGCACGTAATAAAAAAAATTACGCTTCAGTTTTATAAAAATGTGTAATATCACATAAGCCTCGTAAGTCAGTTGGTCGAGTTACCATGGAAACGAATAAACAGACGTTATTTTGACAGATTAAAAATTATTAATCTGTCAGTGTAAATATGGTGGTAATTTAATTTTTATTTTTATTATCGAAAATAATGGTAGAAAAAGTATAGTACACAACTTGAGTTGTAAGCTTATCACATGCTTGTAAAATTACTGCGCTCGCCGCTACGCGGCTCGCGCGCAACTTTTTTACTCGCATGTAATAAGCTTCTTACAACTCTCGTTATGTAATATACTATTAATTACTCTCTCTTTAAATAGCCTCGTAAGGCACACCTTTTCTTTTAAGTAGCTCCACAAAAAGAATTCCAGATGGTGAGGTCTTCGGGGGCCAAAGAAAGTCCAACAGTGAGTAGGACAAAATTTGGAACATTTCTTTTACAATGAAAAGTCACCGTATTATTTTGGTATAACATTTGTTTTTCAATTAATGAAGAGAATTAAACTACTGAATATTAAAAAATTGTAGATGTAGATGTCTTTCTGCATTCAAGTTATTTAAAAAAAAGTCTGATTGTATAAATGCCACACCATACCTTTGTTTTAAATGAATATTGATCTCGTGTTTGGATATTGAAATTGAGATTACCATCGCTTCATCATCGACAATTTTGAGAAATTACAGTACCATTAAATATAACGTTGCTTCGTCAAAAACAGTATGTGTCTCTGTTATAAATCAGTTATCTTTAAACCTTGAATCAAGAACATAATTCAAAATATTATTTTATATTTCTTTCCTTTAAAATATGGCCTTTTGGAGTTTGTATGGTTTAAATTTGATTTTAAAATTTTAAATTTTAAATATAAAAATGGATTCGATTTTTTTAAGTAAATCTTGTTTATATTTAACTACCTTTCATCACAGGATCACATCATCACAGGATTTTCATTTTCCATATTTTCAACCTTTTTCTTCTTCTTTTTCTTGTATGAACGCTTTAAAGCCTGTTTTTGCATTAATTTTAATCTAATAAATTGTTTAAATTATCGCACTATCTTTTTTTTTTGCTCTGCCAATACTTCTTCGTCCATTTGGTGACATCTCGTGCTATTCGTACTATCCTATCTTCTCTCATTCTACTTATGTGTTCGTTCCACTCCTATTTCCGTTTTGTCACTAATCCATTTGTGTTTTTTATATTGCATGCTCTTCTCATGTTTTCGCTTCTCTCCCTATCCAACAGACTTTTCCCTGATATTCGTCGGAGTATTTTCATCTCTGTTATAATTTCTTTTTGTAAAATTATTTTGGACTTAAACAAAAAGTTGTTTGTTCTAATAACATAATAACAGAATAAAAAAAATTGAATCTGTATACATTACATATTATTCAAAGAATAAAAATTGTTGTAGGTACAACATTAACACAAGAAATGGTATGGCTTTTGGCAAACAACTTGGATTATTCAACAGCCGCTAGAATTCCTTTAAAGCAGCGATTTCCTTTTTTTGAGTAAGTATTGTAGGCAATAAAAATCGAGACATCAATAACAGTTTAGATATCACCTGGTCTAACTGCGTTGCTTATCTTTATTTTTTGTTTAAACAACTCTATCATTTGGTATTTTACTGACCATTGCTGTTATGACGGCACCACACTTCGCAATGTGTTATTCGCCAAATTGGGCAGCATAAGACGAAGTATGGAGGGTACATTCGTCAATTATTTCCTTTATTCGCATGCATAATCAAAGGCCCGAATAGCAAATACGACTATTCGTCTACTTGTGGGATTTTTGACATACTTCAAATTACACGAATAAACCTGTGGACACGACTGTCCACAATTCGCTTGTACCGGTGGTTGTCTCAATTTTTATCGGAACCTAACCTTATTATATCTTGTTATTAGAACCATTAATTAGAAAATTTGTGTGCTTAAATATAACAATCGTAACTATTACGCTTTAATTTGTTGTATGCCTACTGTGAAATGGAGTGGACAAATGAAAATGTAATGAGATTTTTGTATTTATACCAGATGCAGTATTTGTATGTAAATATTGCATCTAATAAGTCCATTGGTATTGGTAAATACTGCATATGTACCAATAAGTATTGGTAAATTGCATTTAAGTAAAAATAAGTTGCAGCGACCGTAAAAACGTCCACGTCCATTTTGTTTCTGTCAAATACGCATGACGCAAATCTTTGGCGTGTTTGTCCCGCCGGTACAAGGGTGGAGTAGCGTATTTGTTATTCGCTGACGAATAACAAATATTAGGGCAAATAAAGCAAAGCCACCCAACAAATAACACATAGCAAAATATGGTATCGCCATTACAGTCTCATTTGTTTAACTGGTATTCTGTCAAGATCTTTATTTAGTACACTGTTTTTAAAAATACTTTTTATTATTTATACTAGTTTTTATTATTTACTTCTCAGTTACATTTAATATCTTCTTCCACCATACCTCGTATTAAGTTGATTGCATAGAATATTATTTGATTCTACTTTAGTTTTGTCTACCGCCATTTTCTTTTTGACGACCTTGTAGTTTTTAAGATGAAATAAATGACGGTTGCGTTTCGATTTAATTTAAATCTCTTACCACTCCCTGACACGTGTTTCTGGGTCTACTTGTCATCAGAAGGAGTTTGTAAGAAGACTCTTCCTTACAAACTCCTTCTGATGACGGGTAGACCCAGAAACACGTGTCAGGGAGTGGTAAGAGACTCAAATTAAATCGAAACGCAACCGTCATTTATTTTATTATTGTCGTTACTCGACGCAATGAGTACAAAAATGATAGTAATTTATATAGGTAAATTGTTGATGCATAGTGGAATGTTAATATTCTCAGCATCGCTCTGAATGGCTTGATTAAGCTTGGGTTATACAGTTTACTTTAATTGCTATCGATATTTAACTTCATGTTTCCTTTTTAAGACGACTCCTACATATTTTCTGTCATGGTTTACATAGTTTTGTCATAGAATAATAATCACCATATATATTGAATTAGTACTTTCTTTCATGTTTTACCCCATGTTTTCTACTATTTTTGACTTATTTATACCTTCCTTCTCATCCTTTAGTATTAACGATTTATTGTTTTGTAGTTTTTCTAATATGTCTTCAATATACGGCACAAGCTACTTACTTATTATTGGCATAGAATCTTAATGACTCTTACCTTGTCGTCCATACGGTCACATATCATCTCATGTAGTGTACTAAGTTGCACCAAATAGTATGTAAATTTAAATTTCTTCTTCTTCTTCGTCTTTCTCTTCCATAAAAGGTTTTGACTTCGTTTTTTGTGTGGTCGTGCGATAATTCTTCTGCCGATTGGTAACTTATCTCTTGCTATTTTGACCCTTTCTGCTTATTTTTAATTTTTAATATGTAAAAATATTTACATTCACCATATATGTAAATATTTTATTAACTATGTCGATTTTAGATTTAGTTCCTTCGTTCATAAAAAAATGAAGGAGCAGTTTCTGCAAGAAAACCAGTCATATCCAGAAAGATGCGCTATGATAGAAAATTTGTGCTATCCGCGTTGGAAACAATTAGAGGGTACGAATGGACGACGTTTTATTAAAACACATTTACCACTGAGTTTATTGCCACCAAATTTACTTGATAGTGGTTGCAAGGTAAGAAGATTATTCTCTAATCAAATTAGATCAGAGTGTGACACTAGCGGCAGGGATCGTACCTTAAAGACAACAAATATGAAGGGTTCCTCCCATTAAGATCCCGCTCTCACTCCCAGAATTTAATTTTTTTGATTTTTTTACCTTTTTTGTGATTAATGTAATTAATGGGCCTTTTGTAATTAGGCTCAGTGCATTTTGAGCCCCCCATCACACTAGCTTCAAAAACCGGAAAAACTGATTTTTGGTAATTTTGCTTATTTTATAGAGTTTAAAATAAATCAAATCAAGGTTTTTTCACAGGTTATATATAATTTGAAGTAACTGAGTCCTTTAGGACATTCAAAAATTGGGTGAAACAGCATTAAACCCCTAAAAACCATGTCAGACCTCAAAGAAGTAAATATAACCATCGTTTTTGCAAAAAACAGATTTTCAAGGGTTACTCGGATGGTTTTACTAGATTTGCCCAACTTTAATTAACACACAGCACATTATTAAACAGCATATTTATAAAATTTTTATAAAATAACATGAGGCGATGTATTTCCTATATTCAGAGAAGCTAGAGATTTTTTTAATCGTGCAAAAAACTCGGTTTTCAAGTGATTCTCGGTATTTTTCTAATTTTTTTGGCCGTTTTGCGCTACTAAATGACACGTTTTAAAGTATGTTCTTGAGAAACATGAGAAGATGCGCTGAGTCTTATTTTGTTCATTACAAAACGCAAACACATGAAAAATTGATTCAGGTAGTATCGATCTCAAAAATATGCTTTACCCAGCAAAAACTCTCAATACCCTTAAAAATCCTGAAAAAAACACGGTTTTTTTAGAGGTTTAAAGGTTTTTTGCACAATTGTTTGACCTATTTTAATGTCTTTGAAAAAAATCCTCACTTTCACAAATTATTTTATATTGATCCCTTTGTTTATCCTACTTAACATACTTTGCGCTTTTAAATGGATAGCCCACATAGTCGACGACTTGTACTGTTCTGACTTTTTCTGAGGTAAGCAAGCACAACTCGTTCATCTGTGGCTATTACCTTTTACTTGTCCGTCCAGTTAATGAATTTGCCGTGTTCTTTTTTATAACCCTTTTCCGATTTTTGCGGTATTAACCGCGATTTTGCTTTACTATTTAAATAATCAATGTTAAATCTCATTTTTAAGGAATATACAGCTAGTAATAACAATTAATCTTTTGTGACAAATTGCAAATTAATTTTTGTTTTTCTCATTTCCATATCAACGAAAAGTATACTGATTTACCTCACAAATTTAACTATTTTACATTATTAGCTCTTATTTGAATTTTTTTGTAGTAATAATACACGATTTCAAAGTGTACCAAAAATAAATAGCGTAAAGTTATCGAGGATAACTATTCTTTAAAAAACTTGCTCTATTTCGAGCACTCCGGCTGAGCTGTCATGCTCGAAAAATAGCGCGTGTTTTAAAGACCTCAATATCCACTTATGTCCTTAATATCCAGATACGAACCATTGAGATGCGTATTTAGAGATTCTGGACAGAAAAGAATCCTACGTACAATGGATGAAAGAGCATATGAAATATTTAATGGACTAAGAAATCATCCTAGCAGAATGCTGAGAGAGCTGACGAACTACAACGAGAATATAAGGATGGTACACAGAAGACCTAAACAACAGATAACAGGATATAGGAAAAACCAAAACGAGTAATCAAGAATGAGATAGTCGGGCAGTAGTCCCAAGAACAAATGTAAAGTTAGACAGAAAGCAACCAAAAAAATTACTCTGGCCAGAGGGTACGCAATAGTTTAGATTAGATTTAAGTACAATATACATGGAGGTGTGTGATGGTCGTATACACCTGGGAATTCACACCCCAACACACGAACACTTTTAAGTTAGGTTGGCTTTTGATAGTAGGGCGTAGCAAGTGAGATGTTGAGCAACATCTCCTAGAATTGGAAACAGCGGCGAAACAGATCGGTCTAGTCATCAACGAAGACAAAAACCAAGTACATGTTGGTAACAAAGGATCCGATAGCAAATGAGGAACGAGAAACAGTCTTTGAAAGTCATACTTTTGGACGTAATGACAACTTCACATACCTTGGGTCGCTATTGACTGCTACCAATAAAACAAGCGAAGAAATCAAAAGACTCTAAAATTATTATATACAAAACATTGCTGAGTCCGGTCCTCACATATGGAGCAGAAACATGGACTCTAACGCAGAAAGACGAAAGACTTTTGGGAATATTTGAGCGTAAAATACTCCGCAAAATATTTGGAGCTGTAAACGACCAAGGGCAGTGGCGCAGAAGATATAATTTTGAATTTTATCAGCTCTTTGATGAGCCAGATGTCATTACGTTTATTAAAACACAGCGACTTAGATGGGCTGGACACATAATACGAATGCCAGAAAATACGATTGCTAAAAAGCTAACCACAGGAACACCTGTAGGAAAAAGAAGCAAAGGCCGATCGCGAATTAGGTGGTTAGATGAAGTTGAAACCGACTTACGAATATTAAAAATCAGAAGATGGCAACATGTTGCCAAAAACCGAACAGAATGGCGACGAATATTAGAGCAGGCCAAGATCCACAGAGGATTGTCGAGCCAAAGATCATGATGATGATGGCTTTAGATAGTTTTAGACAAAAAAACAAAAACCAAAAGAATACAAAAAAACGCTTTCTGTCTAAGTCATAATATATAGACGTATAAAAGGCCAGTGAGGTCTTTTATAATAACTGCAATAGCGGACTAGGCCCCTCAGACAGATCAAATGTAATTTTGATATTTGCTTTTCGTGAATTCCGAGCACTGAGGTCATGTGCGGCATATGGGCTCGGTGGCCGGATCTCCCTCGGATGCTCAGCTGGTGAGGAGAACAAAATTTATCATTCTTCAGTTAAAGATTCTTGGCTTATTTCAGATGCCCCTAAAGATGCTCTAGGAAGCGAAAGTACTTGGGCAAGATTTAATTAAAAAACTGTGCTTGATATTTGACTTTTCATTTGATAAAAGTTCCTAATCAGTCAAGAGTCAGACCAGAGTTGAGTCAAGTCCTGATGAAGTTAAAGTAACTTTAATAGAGTCAGTAAAGTAAACAGGGAGAAAAACCGATATGTGTGCTACCCCTTCAGTTAGGTGGCCTAAAGACAGTCAATAGAAACAGGGTGTTTCATTACCCAGGGAACCTAAAGTAATTTTCAGATCATAAGCTTCCTCATGTAAGTCACACGCTGAGGAGGGGTGGAGGAAAAGCCTGGGGGTCAGATGAATACCAATTCAATAGCGAAGTGTGACCGGTTTGATCTTCGAACATGTGGATCCCACTTTACAATGATATACACATGTTTTTTAGGGTAGGGTTGATCATTGTGTGTGTATGTATGTTTATGTGTGTGTGTAAATGTCCACTTATACTGTAATATACTATTTTTGGAGAAGAGGAGGCAGGACGGGGGTGTCGGACTAAAATTGTGCTTATTTTTTTAATCACATAAAATGTAATAAAATAAAAAAATTCAATTCTCAGAGTAAGAGCATTTTGCGTATCTTAACGAGAAGTACCCTTTATCATAGTAATGCTTAAAACAACTTGTGTATTTATTTATTTTAGGTTATATATGTAGCACGAAATCCTAAGGACGTTGCAGTTTCGTATTATCATTTATGCAGAGCTCATAAAACGCAAGGATTCACTGGCGATTTTGCCCAATTTTGGAACTTCTTTCAAAGTGGTTTAGGTAATTAAATAAGCTTGTTTAATAAAAAATACAGGTCTTGACAAATTAAGTGTTTATACCTTTACGATTAAAACAATATTTTTGAGATGTATCAGCTATCTTCGGTGTAGATGTTACGGTAAGAGTAGATAATTGGTAATTGTATATTATAATTACCAGTAAGTAATTACACAAAGAACGAAATAGATTTTATCATTGCTAATAAAAAAGAAATGACATGTACAAGATGCACCTGTTTTAAACAGATTTACAATTGGAAGCGATCACAGATTGATTCGAGCAAAAATTCTGTTCAATTTAAAGAATAAACGAACAAAAATGATAAAATCAGACAATCGTAAATGGACCCCGCCCGAAAATACAGACCACCTTCGTGACATCATTGACCATAACCTTCAACAAATCAACGACGAAACACAGGTGGAAGTTTTAAACGAAAGTATCATAAAAGCCCTTAAAGAAGCGGAGATGTTGTGCTGTCCTAAAATGAAAAAAAAACATGAGAAAATAAGTCTCAACACTAAAAATCTGATCGAAGAAAGAAGGAGGCTAAAGGACAAGTATAACACAAACTACGCAGAATTTAGCCAACTCAGTAAAACAATAAACAAAGAAATCCGAAAAGAGATACGGCAACATATCATGAGAGAGGTGACAAGGGTGATAGAGAAAAATAGAAGTCTGAAAGTTCTAAGACACAACATGTCCACAAGAAAAAAGAACATACATAAGTTAAGAAATAAACAAGACGACATTGTGACTGATAAGGAAGAAATAGTGAAAATAGTGGAAGACTTCTACAGACAACTCTACGAAACAAGTGAATCCGATGAAAGACGCCCTTTACCAAAGATAGAGAATAAAGGCTCAGAATTAATGCCGAACATAACTGTTGACGAAATTAAAAATGCGCTTTGGGTGATGAAGAACAATAAATCCCCAGGTGAAGACAGGGTAATGACCGAAAGACTAAAACAGGAAGGAAATAAGCTCTTACTGACACTTGCTAAACTGTTCAATAAATGTCTGTGCGAAGCGATAACATCTACGCAGTGGAACAACGCGGAAATCATCTTACTTCATAAGAAGGGAGATATCAGCGACCTTAGAAACTACCGCTCCATTAGCTTGTTGTCACAAGTATGTAAGCTATTTACAAGAGTTATTACCAACAGGCTAGGAAGTAAGTTGGATTTCTATCAGCCAAGAGAGCAAGCAGGTTTTAGAGCAGGATATGGCACGAATGATCATTTACAAGTAATTAAGAACTTAATAGAAAAGAGTGTTGAATATAACAAGCCATTAGTCATGATATTTGTTGACTACGGAAAAGCTTTCGACCCAATAAGTTATCAAAAGATGTTAAAAGCCTTAACAGAGTGCCGTAGAGATGATCGTTATATAAACATGATAAAATAATCTATCAAAATGGGACAGCAAGCGTGAAACTGGCAGATAAAAAGACCAACGTATTTAAAATAAAACGGGAGAATTTCGCCAAAATTGTTTACAACATTATTAGAGCATATGTTTAAGAACGCAAATCTAAGTGAAAAAGAAATTAATGTCAATGGAGAAATGCTTAGTCATTTGAGATTTGCTGACGATATTGTCCTTTTTGCTGACAGAATCGATGATGCAATATCGCAACTGAAGAAACTATACCGAGCCTCCCTACAAGTTGGATTAAAAATCAACCACACAAAAACACAAATCATGACAAATCTTGTGTTAAGCGAAAAGATTTCAGTAAATGGCATGCATATTGAAGAAACCACCTCTTATAAGCATTGCCTCATTCGGCAAGCTGAGCTATGTTCTTAATTCAGAACTACCTATGTCTCTTAAAAGAAAAGTCTTTAATCAGTGCGTGTTGCCAGTACTTACATATGGTGCAGAGACATTAACACTAACCAAAAAAGTAAGAAATAAAATTTGTGTTATCCAAAGAGCCATGGAACGATCGTGTTAGGCATTTCTCGTAGAGATCGGACCACGAACAAGGAAATAAGACGGAGAACAGGAGTGACAGATGCCATAGAAAGAATTATGACCCTTAAGTGGAACTGGGCGGGGCACATAGCTAGAATGTCGGATAACACATGGACACAGCGAATAATACAATCGAGACCGAGACAAGAAGCACATCGAAGTAGAGGTCGTCCACCAACAAGATGGTCTGATGACATAAAACGGATCGACAAAAATTGGATGCAAACAGCACAAAACAGAAATGGAAAAGACTGAGGGAGACCTATATCCAGCAGTGGATAGATCCGGATTAAATGATGATGATGAAGTAATTGTATACAATTACTAGAGTCAATGGTAAATGTAGAAAAATATTTCCAATTATCTACTTTTACCGGTATTTGTATACAATTACCAACGACCAGTTGTAAAAGTATAAAATGATGAAATAAAAACAGTAAATTTCAACAACTATTCAAAAATTGTGATTTTTATTGAACTGAATTAAAAACAAGAGATATTTTAATCCACAAGGACACTACATTCCTGTAGCTGGCTGTAGACCGTATATCACAAATCAATTATTTAATAAATTCCTTTATAAAAGGTATAATATTACAAACCCTATCGGGCTACATCACAGAACGTTTTCGGAATTAATATTCCATCATCAGTGCTATCTGGATGTACATATTTGAACCCACTAAATACATTGGTAAAAACCCTTTAAATGTTGTTAAATTAACTTTGAGTTGAGTTACATTATTTAACTTATGATATTCTTATTTAAAAATAGTTCATATTTACACTATTATCCTCACATGATTGTAACGTTTATTTTTAGTTTAAAAATAATACTTAAAATAAATAATTTTTAGTTTCTTGGGCACCATACTGGGAGCAAATCAAAGAAGGATGGAGTAGACGGCATGAAAGCAATTTAATCTTTCTTTTCTATGAAGATATGAACAAGGTAAAAAAAAACAAATTTGTTAATATTAGTAATATCAAATCGAAGTTATCTATCAGATAAAAGTTTCATCCATCTAACTGGTCATTAATAATAGGAACACTTCATGTTATTCTGTTTTCTCTTGTATGGTATACAAGAAAGGTAACAGGGTTTTCATGACGTCTTTGGCATACGTTCGTTGCAGAAGAAATCAGCAGATGAAAAGAGAAGTACATTGAACGTCTATGAAACCATCCCAAAAGAAAATAAAAAAAAATTGTAATTTTATCCAGAAGTCAAAAAAAAACAAAGAAATACCGTTCAATGAATATACTAAATCAAAAACAAGAAACTGAGAGAATTAGTATCACTGGATTACTTCTCCGCTCATGCATTTTACAAGCACCATATATACTTATACTTATATTTATAAAATATTATACAAATCTCTTTTATTATTATTAGCACTAGTTGAACATTACCTTTAGTAACAAGGTACTTATTCTTGTTCTGAAGCTATTTTCTTATGGCATTGTAAATTAATTACCATTTAACTGGGAATAAGCCACAATTAAAGATAAAAATATGTTTATTGACGTTTCAATTTCCACTTCGGAAATCGTTCTCAAAATACAAACAGTAAATTAGACAAATTTTGTTTTTTGTTACATAGTGAAAAATTCTTCTAATAATTTAATTTTATCTGACTCATTTATATTGACAATTCAGACATACATTATGCATTTTAAAGTAGACGACTTTAAAATGATATTGCCAATATTGTTGAGTTGCGCTCCTGGGACGACTTTACTTATAAGATAGTTCATTCGATTACATGAAATCAACTTTAACTTAAGAATATCCGTCAGAAAAAATCATACATGTAATTCGTCTTTAAAAAGACAAACACATGACACGATGACAGTAAAATTCTCCTGTTAGTGATTCCATAGTAAATTATGAGGGAAAAACCAGGAAAAAAACCTCATAATACTATCCCGACATTGTAAGTATTTGTTCGTGAATTTAGTTTACCTTCAACAAACATCAAAATTCTGATTTTATATGTTACGTTATTTAAAAAACATAAATGATGTATCCTCTATATGTTACTGCCTTACTAATACTGGTATTTTCTTATTAATAACTTCCTCTTTCAATATTGGTAACCAGATCCTACTACATTCTGCCGAGGAATTTGCGACACATTTGGCCTCATTTAGCATAATTAGAGCCGCTTTTTTGATTTTTCTTTTTTTACCATCCGTTTCTTTTAGGACTACATTTGAATTATTCCATTGAACCCTATGTTCATTATCCCATGCGTGTTTACATATTTGAGATCTATCAAATTCTCTATTTTTAATATAAGATTGATGTTCACTTATTCTAACTCTAACATTTAATGGCCTTGATGATTCACCTAAATAAAACTGATCGCATTCACAAGGTATTTTATAAATGCAATTCTTTGTCCTTTCTTGTTCATTGTTAGGTTTGGTTTTGGACAAAATATATCCTTATATATATATATATATATATATATATATATATATATATATATATATATATATATATATATAACGATGAATATACTATACACAGTTATATATTTTTGTTACAATCAGTTCATATTTTTTTTTAGAATCTTGATCCAGTTCTTCAAAAGTTATCAAAGTTTTTGGGAAAAAACTACTCAACAGAAGAGATGTCCTATTTAAGCAACCATCTTAGTATAGACAACTTCAAGAACAATAAATCGGTAAATAACGAAGATTTTAAAGATTTGGGTATTTTGAATAGAACTGAAGGAAATTTTGTTCGATCGGGGAAAAGTGGAGGATGGAGATCTTATTTTGATGATGAAATCAATGTTCAAGCCGATAAATGGATTGAAGAAAACTTAAGTTTATTAAACATTCAATTTCCTAAATAAATACAATAAACTTAAATATTTTGTATTGAGTTATGTACTTTGATATTACTATTGTAATTGAAAGAATAATTAAGTTATCATTATATTAAGTGTCATTTTATTGTGAATTAAATTAAATAATATTTATATGTCATCATATTGTAGTGTGTTTAAATACTACACAAAAATAATTTTATTCTTCTGCTTAAAAACTGTGCTATCATTAATTTCCAAACCAAGTGGAGAGTAAATGAACATACTTTTTCACTTTTTATGTGATTGTTACACAAAAAAGGTACATACAGGAACTTAAAAAAAACAGTTTTAAGTATTTATTTAAGGATCAGTAATAGGAATTTTTATTTATCGTCAAAAAAACTATTATATTTATTCTAGAACATGTTTTTTTGTTGAGGATAAACGATGGAAAGGATTTGAGCAACTCAATGTCGTGCAAAGAGTTGGTACCTCATGGAAGCATATTATGCCAGGAACGGTTTAGCTCTGTTTTTTTATTATTGTTTTAATATGGCAGTAGAATCAGTTGATACTTTTATTGTTCAACTTGTAAACTGTTTTTAATATAAGATTACGAAGTCCTAGGAATTGCGGTACCAGGTTCGAAAACAGGTACTATTAATAAAATTCCACCTATTCTTATACATAAAACTTTCAGTCCTTTCCTATTTCATTTACTAGGAAACCTTAAATCAAAAGTATTCAAATTCTCTTCTATCCACCTATCAGCTTCGGCATTTAGTTCATCATCAAAGTATGGCCTCCATCCTCCAACAACACCTTTTCTTATGAAGCTTCCTTCAGGGTTGCTAATCACTCCTATGTCTTTATCTTCCTCGGCATTTACTGATTTGTTATTTCTGAAATTATCAATGCTCAAATGTTCTTCCAGTATCTCGTACTCCTCTTCTGAATAACTCTGTTCCAAAAATAAAGATACTTTCTTTATAGTAGGTCGTAAATTCTGAAAAGATAAAATGTCTTAAATGTCTTGTAAGAAAAAAATGATTCAACATACTTAATTAAAGATATTAATTCTTGACGATAATCAATTGATGGGTAAAAGATTGACGAACCAAACAAAAAACAATAGGATGATAAAGACAATACTACACCTACGCTGTTATATTGACATTAAAGCTAAGTACTTATGTAAAGAGATCACTCTGTAATTCAAGGAGCTAAATGAGACTTCTGATTAGATTGAAAGGTATTATAAGACTTAATACACAGGCAAAACACGACGTTAGACAAGAACTTTTATTGATGATTGCTTGATTAATATTGATGATGATTGATTTACAGATGATGCTAAATAGAGTAAATACAACTGGAAACCGATTTGGACTGAACATCAATAGAAAGAAAACTAAATTTATTTGTGATCAGTAAAAAGAACATTCAACATATCGACCTGAATATTGAAGCCAAACGTATTGAAATAGTACACCGATTTAAATATCTGGGATATACAGTAAATGATAAGTGGGACCCAGACGTAGAGATTAAGATCCAAATTGAAATAGCAAGATTCAAATTAATCAAAATGAGAATGCTCTTAAGCAACCGCTACCTAAGCGTTAACCTCCGGTGACGCGCCACGAAATGCTACGTACTCTCTATGCTACTTTACGGAGTAGAAGGGTGGACGTTAACAGCAGCAGCTATAAAGAAGTTAGCGGCTCTAGAAATGTGGCTGTATCAACGCATATTGAGAATACCTTGGACAGACAGAGTGACCACACATAGGTATTAAGACGAATGGGTAAAGAGGTGGAATTGTTAACAACTGTTAAAAGGAGGAAAGCGTCATATCTGGGCCATGTGTTCCGTAATGATAAGTACAGTCTGCTACAGCTTATCGTGGAAGGCAAAGAAGTAGAAGGGGTTGGGGCAGAAAGAAGAAATCCTGGCTGAGAAACGTGAGAAAATGGTTTCAAATACCAGAAGCTGCGAACATAATACATGCGGCACAAAACAGAGAAACCTATCGTTTGATGGTCGCCATCTAATATCCATTTATTTTATATTCTATATTAGTGTTTACTTTCCTTTTGAATGGTAAGGTTGTGCCTGAGATGTTTCTTATTAACAAGTAATTAGATTAGGGATATTATTTATCGGGAATGATGTTTGATAATCCAGTTTCACGTCGTTATTGCGTGTTATCTACTTCTCTGGAGGAGAAAATAAATGTCCTGAACAATATGGCGTCGCATTTATTACACACAAAAACAGTGATAAACCTCTAGAAAACTTTACCCCTTACTCGGAAAGGGTAGCGCTACTACAACATTATACTCAATCTAACACAAGTACATGCACTCACAGCGGTTAAAGAAGAGAATTCACGGACATCACAAAAAGTCTCAAGAAACATTACATGAACATTATACTAGAAGACTTTAATGTAAAAATCGACAAAGAAAAAGAAGCTGATATCACTGGAGGATAGGAATTCGATAAGAGGGGTGATCGTCTGATACAATTTTGCCAAGAAGAAGAATATGTAGCATCAAACACCGATTTAAACTACCTTACAGAAATAGATGTAATATAACTAATAGAAGATAACAACATAAAATTACTATTTTAACAAAATATATGAAAGTGGCGTAATGCCAAAGGAAAGACGGATTCGGATTTAGAAAGGCCTTGGAAACAAGAGAGGCATTATTTGCGACTCAAACACTCATCCATTCAAAAATGCTTCGATCGCCAAAAAAAAAATATATCTCTGTTTCATCGACTACCAGAAGACTTTTGATAGAATGGAAATTTGATAGAAATTTGATAGGAAGAGTTTTATAGAGAAAAAAGTGTTGTTTGAACTACAGAAAATAAAGCTAGACATGGAAGATCTCCGCATAATTCAACCTTTATTGAAACCAAGTAGCAACCTTCTAATATTTTAATCACACCACTAAAAGCTTCCCTATGCAAAGAGGTGTCCGACAAGGCTGCATCATGTCTCCATTGCATATTCAAACAAGCACTAGACAGACCTAAAATTGGTATAAAAGAAACAGTAAATATATTAACAATATCAGTTATGCAGACAATACCGTTCTGAGAGCAGAAAAAATGAAAAACTTACCAAATATACTAGACAGAGTTATTAATGCAAAGCGAAGCAATAGGCCTGGCAATAAATCTTAGAGAAACTAAATTAGAAAGATTAAAATTAGAATAAATAATGCCCAAATACCATATGCACTTGATGCAAGACTTCGCTGGAAAGTCCATATTGAAAAGCAAAGAGAAAAACTAGGTATCCGTTACAAAAAAATGTATTGGCTGATAGGAAAGGAAAAAATTTAGCATTGCCCATATATGGACAAACAAACAACTGTTTAAAAAAACAAATACTGAGACCAGCATGAAAATAGGGTTGCCAAATCTGTGAATAGGCCAATTGAAGCACCCAGAATAAAGTATTAAGAAACATCGTTGATGCTTCTTGGTACATCAGAAATGTCCATCTCTACAAGGACCTTGACATTGAAGATGTGGATAGTCAAAGTTATCAAGAAGATGGCAAATAGTCACGAACAACGGCTCCATAGTCATATAAACATCGAGGTCCCTCAATAATAATGATTTAGAAAAAAGACTTAAACGAAGAAAACTATGACCAGATATCAGTGGCGTAAACACAGCTTAGGTGTTAAATAATTAAAAAAGTGTGTTCTATATTATTGTATTATATACAGGGTGATTGATTAGTGTGAGGAAGCTCAGTAGATCTGTTATAGTAAAAATTACAAAAAAAAGTTATTAACAAAAATTGTAGGCAGCTTTAAACTCCATATTTTAAAATTAGTTACAATCCTACAGGGTGTTCCATAAGATAGTGGCAGACCAAACTTATGTTTTTTTAAATGAAACACCCTGTATTTTATTTTAAATTTAAAATCTGCTTCACTTCCACATTACAACAATGTAAAGTTTTACTATGTTATACCGGGTATTTAAAAAGTTATAACCAATATTACCTGAAAATCGTATCAAGTTTAACTCCCTGTATAATTAAAAAGGATTGTAGGAACATTGATCTATTGCAACCATAGTTTTTTAATAATTGTTAAAAACTATAAAACATATTCATTTTCATAATATTCGTTAAATCAAATACAGGGTAAGTCAAAATGCAAGTACATTATTTTCTTGGTAATTTTAAATAGAACACCCTGTATTTTATATCACTATCGAAAAGAACTAATATCGTACTTCATATTTTATGAAGTACTCCCTATACGTGAAGTTATTAGTTTTAAAGATATTTTTATTTTTCCATCAAAGTATTAATTTGGTAGATATTTTAACGTTTACCAATAATTATTGTGAGTTGGCCATGATTGATTAGTCAGAAACTGACAGTTTGACATTAATATTTATTAATTCAGTATTGGGGTACACCGTAAATTAGCAACAATTATTATTTAGTAATTTAGTAATTGATTCAATTTAAATTAGCAATAATGAATTTTACTACTGATGAAATGGTAGATATGATCTGGATATTGGGGGAATGCAATAAAAATTCATTACCATCAGCTAGAATTTATCAAGAACGGTTTCCAGATAGGCGACAACCTAGACAAGATACATCTGAAAAATTGAAAGATCGATTTAACCGCACTGGTTCAGTGAATTATGAAAAACATGAACGAACAAAAACTAGTGTGACAGAGGAAAACGAAATGAGTGTGTTGATGGCGGTTACAGAAAACCCACACACAAGTATAAGGACTATTTCCAATGAACAAGAACTTAGTTACTACTCTGTTCAAAACATTCCATCTAAAAACAAGATGCACCCTTATCATATTCAAAAGCACCAAGAATTAATTAATGATGATTTCAGAAACGAATAGTATTTTGTGAATGGGCCTTAGAAAAAATTAATGAGCAGAGAGATTTTTTTGTGTATGTCCTATTTAGTGATGAAGCTACATTCCATCGAAACGGTTCTTTTAATAGGCATAACTTTCACTACTACTCAACAAGTAATCCATACCACATAGTAACACATAGTCAAACAAGAGTCTCTAAATGTGTGGGGAGATATCGTCGGTAACCATGTAGTAGGACCATATTTTTTTGAAGATAATTTAAATGGTGAGATTTATTTAGATTTTATCGTAAATCAGTTACCGATATTATTAGAAGAGGTTCCACTTAATATACGTGAAAAAATGTGGTTTCTACATGACGGTGCTTCTGCGCACCACAACGAATTAGTACGTGGTGAGCTTAATAATCAGTTTGGGGAAAGATGGATCGGAAGGGATGGACCGGTAAGGTGGCCCCCAAGGTCACCAGAATTCAATAAAATGGACTCATTTTTTTGGGGTTACGTTAAGAACGAAGTATATAAAATACCCCCAACAACAAGGGATATATGAAAAATAGAATCCTAATTGCATTTCAAAATATTTCTTTACAAATGCTTAGTAATGTAACCAACTCTTTCAATGACAGTTTTCAAGCATGCATAGATGTTTTGGGAGGTCATTTTGAACACCTTACTTAAGTAAGATAAGTTAAACTTACTGTTGTTTTTAATTTTTCTATGTGTTGTTATATTTTTTTTTATTTTCCGTCGGTTATTTTTTATAAATTTTATTTTAAATAAATTGTTTTCTTTTCTGTGTCGTTATTTCGTTACTAAATTATTAAACAATAATGTCAAACTGTCAGTTTTTGACAAATCAATCATAACCAACTCACAATAATTATTGTTGTTGTTTGTTTGTGTTTAAATGACTGCGGACACTAAATCCATTCGCCAATCTTACAATTTGAGGTGTAGTATGTGTGTGTGTGTGTAGAGTAATTGTCTTGATACTTAGCAAAGTCGACGTCATTGTCTTTGCTAAGAGACGCTAATTGTATCCGAACGTCTGCGGTCCCTCCGGTGTGTACCGATCACACAAGGATAGAAATTATTTTCATTTATTAATTTTTTTAATAAACGAAAATTTCCACCCAGGTGGGATTCGAACTTACGACCTTTAGGTTTAAAGGCAGGCGCTCTTACCACTGAGCCACAGAGGGGGTGCAATAATTATATTGTGAGTTGGTAAACGTTAAAATATCTACCAAATTAATACTTTGATGGAAAAACAATAATATCTAGAAAACTGATAACTTTAGGTATAGGGAGTACTTTATAAAATTTGAAGTACAATATTATTACTTTTTGATAGTGATATAAAATACAGGGTGTTCTATTTAAAATTACCAAGAAAATAATGTATTTGCATTTTGACTTACCCTGTATTTGATTTAACGAATATTATGAAAACGAATATGTTTTATAATTTTTAACAATTATTTAAAAACTATGGTTGCAATAGATCAATGTTCCTATACTCCTTTTTAATTGCACAGGGAGTTAAACTTGATACGATTTTCAGGTAATATTGGTTATAACTTTTTAGATACCCGGTATAACATATTAAAACTTTACATTGTTGTGATGTGAAAGTAAAGCCGATTTTAAATTTAAAATAAAATACAGGGTATTCCATTTAACAAAACATAAGTTTGGTCTGCCACCATCTTATGGAACACCCTGTAAGATTGTAACTAATTTTAAAATGTGGAGTTTAAAGCTGCCTACAATTTTTGTTAATAACTTTTTTTAGTAATTTTTACTATAACAGATCTACTGAGCTTCCTCACACTAATCAATCACCCTGTAGAAATTGTTACTATAATTTTATAATACATACATGTATTATTATAATACCTTTTTCAAATCTTCATAGAAGAGAAACAGCATATTTTCTTCGTGTCTTCTATTCCAACCTTCCTTAATGTGTTCCCAATATGGCGCCCATAGAACTGAAAATAAATTATTTAAATGCAAATGTTTAAATAAGTTTATTAAAATGCATAAGTATACATACAGACAGACCAACAGAACAAGAAATAAAATGGAGAGAAGTTCATTAAAGGCCAATAAGAGCCCAGAAGCAACAAGGTTTATTAGCTAAATTAATAAATTAATTGGATGTATTTAAAAAAAAAAGTAGAATGGTTTAAGACACGTATGTTTCTAATTAAAATAATAAAAAATAAAATAATAAAAAAGTAAAAGAGGATGAACAAAACGATAACGGAGAACGTCTGATTGAATTATGCGAACCAAACAACCTAAAAATCACCAACGGATTCTTCAGGCATAAAAATATTCATCAAGAAACACGAAAGCTGAAACCGCTAATAGACTACAAAATAATTAAACAAGATACCACAATAAAGATCAAAGATGTGCGAGTCAGAAGAGGAGCAGAATGTGGAATGGGCCATAAACTACTGACAGCAAAAATGGACATTAATTGGATATTTAAGTTAAGTTAACATAACAAAACTCCCTCTACAGAAGAACCGTTGAACACTACTTATAAGAGAAAAACAATACAATATAGAACTACTCAAAGAACTAATCAATAAGAGAACCATACAAACAACGTCTAGACCAAAAAGTAATAGAATTTGGATACGGTAACATCGAAGAAATACACGAGCATATAAAGGCGAGTATAAAACAAGCATAGAGTAGAGAAACGAGTGGATAAGAGAGAAAACAAAAGTGAGGAATGTTAGACAAGAAGTTGCAAAATTGAAATGGAGATTTGCCGAACACAATATAAGACAAAAAGAAGACCGATGGAAGAAAATTCTTATAAGTTGGAGACCGTGGGAATATAAACGAAGCAGAGGAAGGCCCCAAATGAGATGAGCAGATGATATCAAGAAGCACGTGGGATCTAGATGGATGACTGTAGCGACGGACAGAGAAGAATGGAAAAGGATTGGGGAGGCCTATGTCCAAAGATGGACCGAAGAAGGCTAATTAGATAGATAGAAAGATAAAACAAGCAGCATTCGAAGCCCTTGGAGAAAAAGCACATATAACAAATAAACAGCACTATTATGAAATCAATGAACTATCAAAAGGAATAATTCAAGAAAAAAGCAACTATGCAGAAAATGGCTGACTACAAACAACGGTGAAGTTTATAAAGAATATAGAGAAAAGATAGAGAAGTGAAAAAACAAATAACACAACAACAGAATGAAGAATGGGAAAGAGCCTGCTTAAATATTGAAACATACATAGGAGGTACAAAAACTTCGGAGTCATGGAAAGTACTGAGAAGATTAAAACAAAACTCAAAAGAAAAAATTTAATTGGGAAAAAACAGGACAAAGAATGGAAGGACTATTACAAAGAAACTGTCAACAAAACAAAGACCACAATTCACTGGAAAAGAAAACGGGGAAGACGAAGCAGATCCCCACAACAAGAAATAGAAATAACAAGATAGGGAAATGAGAACGGTTATAAAAGCAATTAAAAATAAGAAAGGATAAAGTGGTCTTTGTCTGGATTAAAGCACATATAGGTTTGGACCGCCTAAGGTGGGTGGGCCACGTTATGCGGATGGATGAGAGTGATCCCACTAAAATAACTATGCTAAACAGGCCGGTCGGAAGAAGAAGTAGGGGCGACCTAAACTTAGATATCTGGACGATGTACAGGAAGATCTGAGGGAGATTGGAGTGAGGGGCTGGAGAAGACAGACACTCGATAGGGAAGCATGGAAGAATGTTTTGAAGCAGGTCAAGGTTTGGAAAATAATGAACATGTGGACCAATTAGCAAAAGAAAGTATTTTATCTGGTAGAGAAACTTCGTATAAAATGGCGGCTCGCGACTTTCTGGCTTCCTTAAAATTAAGATTATACCAAAGGTGGGATAATATATGGAAGGAATATTCCATTGTTAGCCCAAATAGATACACTGCTCTTCAAATAGATATTTCTAAAACACCTTGGTATAAGTCTTTTAATGTACCTAGAAAATATGTTAGACCATTTACCACGATCATTAGACTGAGATTTTTACATGCTTCTTACCCCAAACATTTATTTAAACTCAAGGTTTTAGATAATGATCGATGTGAATTTTGTACAGAAGAAGGAAACCTAGATCATATATTTATCAGTTGCCCCAGAAATATTATAATTTCATCCAGATTAATAAATAACTTACATAAACACAATTAGCTCCTTGGAACCTTCAGTACTTATTATCACTATACTCGAGAGCAGTGTATGATTCCTTAGTTATGTTTTTAATGGATAGTAAAATAACCATGTAAATAGTTATGCATTAGTTAATAACGTAACCTTTGTTTTTAACAAAATTGTCAAATTCCTTTCTTACCGTGGCCTAGTGTTGTATGTCTTTTTTAAAAATGCCTTGATGGGTCCCTAGGCTAGAAGAGAGTGAACCTGTTTACCTGTTTTTTGTTTTGTATATTTATTATTATAAACTCAGACAACTATTTGTACCATGTTGAGTCTGGCTGAATGACTAAAAGTCTATGCCAAAAAGAAAAGAAAAAAAAACTTTGCTGGTTGTTTGGTTCTTTGCTGACTACTATTGTTTTCTGAGATAAAATTGTCATATTAAATTCTTTTGATATTATGTTAAATCTGTGGACCAGTTCTTGCAGACTATCTTCATCTTGGGCTATCAATATTGCGTCGTCTGTAACATGGTATGTTGATTTCTTTGTTTCCCATTTTGTATCCTCTTCATTCGTTAACGGTTTTCAAAGGTCAAATGATAGGTCAATCAAACACAGAAATACTGGTCTATTATACTCTAGTGATTTCTCAGTAATTTGCTTTATAACGAATATTGCATCTGTACACAATCTTCCACTACGAAAACCCTGTTGTTCATTTGCTAAACTTATCCTCTGATTTATTAGCACTATTTTAGTTGTAAGTTGTAACAGTTGAAATAATATATTAAAAATAGAAATCAAAGAATCAACTATACATTATGTCGTGCCTTACGAAAATTCTGGTAGGAAATGTAAGTCAATGTTAATTCTGACAAATAGGTGCTTGTCAAATAATGTTCTAAATATTTTGTCAAATATCATTATATCAATATACAACAATTTACAATTTTTGTGTATTTATCTTCTTTAACTGAATTACTGAACAATGGCCGAATACCCAACAAGGCATTGTGGTCCTTGTCCCAATTTAGCTCAGTTTGTGTCGCGAGAAGAAGCTGCCCGTTACGAGCAGAAGACAGTTCCAAATATTGAATTTCATGAGTTCCAAAGATCGGATGAGCCAGGTTTGGGAGTAAATACATCGAATCTTAAACCAGATTTAACGGTACCTCCAGTTAAAGAAGTACACTTTGAAAATAAGGATCAGAGAGTAGGTAATGGATATGTGGGAGGTATTCCTGAATGTGAAAGATCGAAACAAGAAGCCTGTCACTGTTGTACTGATAAAAATGGTACTGAGAAAAAGGAAACTTTAAAAGGTAATGTCTTTATCTATTTTTAGGAGTATTTATTTCAAATGGTAAATAGAAAAAAAAATAGTTACAACCTGTTTAAAAGTAAATTAGACGACCGGTTTTGAGTCAGACTACAAGTTTCTGCTCATCGTCAGGTCTTCGATAAGGCTACTTACTTTAATATATAATTATTAATAAAATCAAATATGTTTAATATTATTAATATTAAATCTAATAATTAATAATTTATAACAACTATTGGGACCGTGCAAGTTCGGAACAGCGACACCTGGTGTCGTAAATCAGCAAAATTTACTGCGCTTTCATGTTAGATCGAGGTTACCGGATAACTGTCAAGGACGTAGCCCCAAAAAAGAATAAGAAGAAAAAGTAAGATTGAGGTTATGTCGGTATGTTATTAAAAGGTAAACGTTGTAAGTAGTGTAAATACAAATAAATATATTATTAAATTACAGCATTACTGTTAATATGGATGCAATAATAAAAACTGGATTTGAGAAAGTAAATCACCAAATAACTTTTCAACCAAGTCTGAGTCAAAAGGAAAGCTTTACTAGTAGAAAATGTAAAAAAATAATGGAAGAATTAAGAAAAATAAATTACCATAAATAATGCTAATGCATAAATGCATAAATTAACAGGTTTTTTTGCAATGCAGATATCAAGCACAATTTATTAATTAAATCTTGCCCAAGTACTTTCGCTTCCTAGAACCTAGAGGGGCATCTGAAATAAGCCAAGAAACGTTTTTTCAACTGAAGAAAATTAATTAACTTCGATAAAAAACGAGAAGTTGATGGTTGATAAAAGTTTTTTATATAATATAACTTTTAAGACTTACTTCGTCAAATTTGGCTTGTCCAACAATCTATTTAGAATGTTATAAACATAAAATTGTATATTAACACTACACTGTCCTTGTGTACATTTGTATACAAGGACAAACAGTTTAAAATTTTAAAAAAAATGTCGAAGCTACATATTGATTGGTATCAGGAGAGATAATGGCATAGATAAATAATATAATAGTAGAAATAGATAGGCAACTCAATGTATAAATTTCGTTCATTAGGACACCTTGCGGCTGGGGTCAATACTAATCATCTTTTGGCGGCAAATTCGAATGGACACCCCCTACATCCCTACATACCATCGAGTGAAAAGACAAAAGAGGGAATCTAATCCTTATGAAAAGGAGACCAAAAAAGTGGCCTCTGATGGCGGACATATCCGGAAATGCGAATGCGCCAAATTTAAATTTTCTGACACTTATTAACAGTAGCTATATAATATTTTTCAGAATGTGTCTTAGACGAGAAAGTTTAATTAATTATTAACGGTAATAGTCTAAAATACGACACAATTGTTAAAAAACTTCAATATAAATAAGATTTCAGTGACATTTTGGGACAAACAATAACATAACCCAACTAAATTTGATGTCAAACAAGGAGTGAAACTCTTTTTCCTTGTTTAATGTGGCCTCTAAAGATCGCACTTCCTGTCTAACAATATTTTTGCCCCCACTACCTTTACATTCCCTCTATTGTCTTTTTGCTCGATGCTACATACAAAACCTTTAGCGCCTCTTGTGAGCTATTTCTTTACTAATTAAAATTTACTGAAAAATATTTATTTGTTAAGATAAAACAGTTATAAACTAATTACATAATATATATTACACATATTTTCATAAGTTAAATACTATTATTTTTTGCTTCCTGACAACTTACTATCATTATCCTTTTTGTAATTTTTCTATGATTTGTACACAACGGAACAATACCACTAGTTGTAATGTTTAGTTTTTTTACTAGCACAACACAAAAATTCTTTGCTACAATAGGTTACTCAAAGTAAACTTTAAAAACTAAGTAACCAAATTTAAATTAAAATTACTAAGAATAAATGCAAACGAAAGTTAAAGATAATAAAATAAAATTGAAAACTTGTAAACAAACGGAAGATCTGTCATTACTTTTGACAGAATTGACATTGCTTCGTTTGATCATTTTATTTGGTTTATGATGGGTTAAAGTCTTCGTGAGAGAGATAGGCTGTCATTTCTCTTTATTAACTCGCTGAGGTTAAAGTGATGGGGGAATGAACCAAGTCATTCATATAAGATTCCAGGCCATGGATAATGGCTCCTGATCTTAACGGAAATGTTAAGGTGACATGTGACATATGACAGCTTAGATGGACAGTCGCAATTATGGTGATGTGATCTGCACATTTCAAAATTCTATGAAACTAAGCATTGACCAAATGTCTTAACTGACACTACTATAGGAAAGTAGATTGCATATTCCAGATCTCACACTCAAACCTGTCTAGCCAACCACCCACTATCTAATAGATATCTATTAGATAGTGGGTGGTTGACTACAATAATAGAGTCTATCCTTGTAGCCAACCATCCACTATCTAATAGATTGTTTAGTCTATTTCTTGCATTCGTACTCTAAGTCCACTTCAGTTGCTTTCAAACTAACACCCTTTTTAGTATAGACAGGTTTGTGTGTGAAATCGAGGTTATACGATCTACTTAAAATATTTTATATAATTTCATATTTCATCAGTTGATTGCCATTCCAGACTACCAATTCGGATTCAGAGCCGAACACTCCACGCAAAATGCATTAGTTGAAGCAACAGCTTTCATCTCACAATCACTTAACGAAAGACAAAAAAATTATCTAGATAGAGTCATTAGGTGCTGCAATAAATAGAGGGTGATCATAAACCTCTCCAAAACACAATTAATTTTATTTAAATCTTCAAATTGTCGCGATATCTAAGGCCGAATAACTCTGTTAGGAGAGGATCTTATTCTCAGAAACTCGGTTCCCTATTTGGGAGTTCATTTTACTAGGACTCTCAACTGTAAAACCAACATTCAAGATACTCTTGACAGGGTAAGAAGGAGATTTAAACTCCTGGCAGTGCTAACCGGCAAATTGGGCAAGACGTTATCTAAAACATTATTGCACACCTATAAGACTTTCATTAGACCTATTATCGAATAAAGGCATGTATCTACATCTCCCTTCATCATCATCATCATTCCTCAACCTCTTGCATCCACTGTTGGATATAGGTCTCCTCCATGTTCTTCCACTGTTCTCTATCTTGCGCCTTCTGTATCCAATTTCCGACTGTTTTTCTCAAGTCGTCCATCCATCTCGTCGTCTGCCTCGGTGTCTTTTGTCTTCTCTAGGTCTCCATTCTATGAGTCTTTTGGTCCACCTATTATCATTTAAACGTGCTATATGTCCAGCTCATCTCCATTTGGCTTGTGCAATTTTTTCTATGAAAACTGTCACTTTAGTCCTCTCTCTCACTATCCTATTTGGTACCATATCTCTTCTAGTTATTCCCAACATTGCTCTTTCCATTTTTCTTTGGGTTACCCTCAATTTATTTGCAGAATGTTTGGTTAAAGTTATTGTTTCGGAACCATATGTTATTACTGGCAGTATGCATTGGTTGTAAACCTTTTTTTTCAAGCAAATCGGTAGCGTTCCTTTTAGAATATCTCGTATCTTGCCAAATGCTGCCCATCCCAAGCCTATGCGACGCTGGATCTCACAAGTTTGATTGTCTTTTCCTATTCTCATTTCATGCCCTAAATAGATATAGCTAAAGACCTGATGTACTTCGTTCCCATCTACCCTCATAACATTACTTGGAACTAAATTGGTCATGTATTTTGTCTTTTCAAAGTTTATGTTCAGGTCTATTTGTTCTATTGCCTGTTTTAGTTCTTCCATCATTTTGTGAGCTTCATTTAAACTCGGCTATAATGACAATATTATCTGCAAAGCGCAAGTGGCTTAAGTATTCACCATCAATATTTATTCTTCTTTTAGCCCAATCTAGTTTTTTTAAAGGCATATTCCAGAGCTGCAGTGAATAGTTGGGGGGAGATGGTGTCGCCCTGTCTAATTCCTCGCTCAATTCTATATTTATCGGTAAAGTCATGGAGTTTAACAGATGCTGTTGCGTTGTTGTATATATGTTTTATCAAATTTGTATATCTATAGTCTACTCGGCTTTGTTCTAATGCTCCTAATACTGCCGGTAATTCCACGGTATCAAAAGCTTTCTTGAAGTCTATGAAAATCAACGTGAGTGGTTTATTATATTCAACATATTTTTTAATTAGTATTTTAAGTGCTTGTAGGTGGTCATTTGTTCCATAACCTTTCCTAAATCTAGCTTGCTCCTTAGACTGATAGAAATCTAATTTAACCTTAACACCTCCCTTAAGACCTATTAAATTAATGCTATTATGGCTACCGAAAGAAAAATCCTGAGATTCTGCATGAGGCGGAACAGGCTCATATGTGTTCTCAGCACACATATACACACACTGGCAAATATAACACCTTTTAGGGACAGAATTCTATTCCTCAGCAGGAGCAAAAATGCTGATTAAGAGCCGTTCCTATTGTATGGCTGGTAAACCCTGAAGTACCTCCTTCGACATGTTTGGCATAGCTCACCTAAATTCCTCTTGTGCACTTGTTAACACATCTTCCACACAAACACGTCACCTTCTGAACCCCAACTCCCTAGTATTCCACTACTTCCCCACATATAACATAAATCATCACGTTTTGTCACACCTCCATTACTACGAAAAGAAGAAGTACCCCTTCCTTGAAGATACGTTAAGCCTAAACAAGGTTAAGACTCTGGATCAAATCCAATCAGTTGATTTCCTATAGTAGTATCAGTTAGACCTTTGGTCAATGCTCAGTTTCATGGAATTTTGAAATGTGCAGATCACATCACCATGATTGTGACTATCCATCCAAGCTGTCATATGTCACATGGCACCTTAACATTTATGTTAAAACCAGGACCCATTCTCTCTCCTGATGTTAACCAATATGTAGCTTTGCCGTTTTTTTTTAATTTTAAACTGTTTGTGCTTGTGTCATGGAGAATTAATGTACAATTTTATGTTTATGACATTCTCAATAGATTGTTGGATAGGCCAAATTTGACGAAGTAAGTCTAAACCGTTATATTACATAAAAAACTTTTATCAACCGTCAACTTCAAGTTTTTTATCGAGGTTAATTATTATTTTTTCAGTTGAAAAAACGTTTTTCGGCTTATTTTAGATCCCTTGAAGCATCTTAGATGCTCTAGGAAGCGAAAGTACTTGAGCAAGATTTCATTAATAAACTGTGCTCGATATCTGCCTTTTATTTTATCAAAGTTTATTTATTCGAGCATTCAACCTTATATCACTTTAAACTATAATTTCCTTTGAGCTGTAACCTTAGCGGAGATCTGACAGTGAACCTAAATTTATAGTTTTTGGAACTGGTCATCCAAGTTACTATTTAACAGATTGTAAGTCTATTTTTGATTAGTTCACTTACTAGACTTCTCGCAGCGGCTCATTTTTTATGTAATTTTCAGGCATCCTCAAGAAAGATTCAGGTCCTAAAACAGTCGAGGAAATGTATGCAGATGCAGCAAAAGCTCAAGAACAACAGCCTTTTGTTAGCCATCCAACACAACGTTCTGCTCAGATTGAAGACAAATCTAATCCTGCATGTTATTTACCTCAACCAAACGATGCTCTACCTCATATTCTGGCTACAGAAATGGGACCTATAGGGCCGTGGGCTACTGGTAGAGTTGATTGGGGTCCTCTATCTGGATTGACAGGTACAAGACCCGTCGTAGACAAGTATTCAATAGCTAGATACAGTGAAATTGATTGGAGACTCGAAAATAAAAAAATATTAGATCTAGCTACAACGGAGCAGCATAGAGCCAACTTAATTGACTGGAATGGTCAACAATGTCTCGCTCAAACATTAACAGATGCAGACAAAAATCAAGCAGACAATACAAAAAAGTTAAACCAACGGGAACTGGAGCTCCATCGATGGAAGTGCGAACTGGAAAAAGCTATTGCAGCAGCATCTGAGGAAATTACTTTTATGGAAGAGCAAAGACATAGACTAAAGCAAGCTAGTAAAGTACTTACTCTTCCCGAGTCTATCGCTGGTGAGGCGCTGGAGAGAAGAACCGGTAGAATCGATGGGGAATTGGTTCGGGACGAAGTTGAAGAAGAACTTATTAAGGAAGTAGCTCTATGCGCAGAAATTAGAGATATATTTTCTAGAACCCTAAAAGATGTGGAAAAACAACTGTTGGAAAACAAAACCGCGAAACAAAGGCTGGAATACGATTGGAGCGATAAAAAAGTTTCCCATGAAATAGATTCTATTAATATGGCTTTAAATAACCAATCTACGGTATTGATGTTTAAGCCTGGAGCTGTTCGTTTTCCAGATGAACAATCTACTCCGGATTATTGGGAACATTTTACACGCGAAACTCTTTTAGAAGGAGAAGCTACCAGGCAAAGGTAAACAATAAATAATTTTTAATCTGCACCTATTTAATCTAGGACCCTCTATTTATTTCTTATATTGCTCTCAGTTGATCTGAATTTTGCACCTCTTTGGTAACTGGTGAAATAGTTCTCTGCTCTAAAGCCTGCGGTATTAAGTTTTTACTTTAGTTTTTGCGCTTAGGTCTATCCATTCCGTATTATTATGTATTATTTGCCCGGCACACTTATCGTATTTGATCCACAGTCATTCTTGACATTCTTAATTGTTTCTAGATTTTTCTACTCGAGTTTTTCAATAATTCTTTCTATAATACAGGCTGTGGTGATTAATAGGCACACTATACTATTCTGGAAGTGCAAAAGAGTGGGAGTGCAAAAGAGTAGGAATGGAGTTGGCTTATTTATAACGTCTAAATTTAAGAGATATGTGAAAAATTTTATACCAGTGAACGACAGACTAGCAATACTCCAATTAAATAGCAAACCATTTAATGTCAATGTTATCCAGATATATGCCCCTACTGCAGAAAAGAAATGATAATGATGTCGAATCATTCTATAGCCAATTAAAACAGACACTTAAAAATCTAAATAGTAACGAAGTCACATATATTATCGGAGATTTTAACGCAAAAATTGGCCAAGGCCGAAGATCTCACCTAGTAGGTGAATATGGACTAGGGGAGAGCAATGAAAGAGGCGATAGATTATACCAGTTCTGTCAAGAACATGACATGATAATCGCAAAAACATGGTTCAAATTACACAAAAGAAGGTTATACACATGGAGGGGACCAGGAGATAATTCACTACATATGATTAGAAATCAGATAGACTATATTCTGGTAAACAAGAGATTTAAGAATGGCGTCACCAGAGTAGCGACATATCCTGGTGCATATATCGGTTCAGACCATAATCCTGTAATAACTGACATGAAAGTGAAGCTCAAAAAAGTCCAAGAAAGCCCCAAAACACCAAAATTAAATATCTCAATATCCAACAAAACGTTAATAGAAAATGACTTAAGCAATGAGCTAAAGAAATCAATAAATGAAAACAACACAGAAATATGGAACACATTTAAAGATCTTACCTTGAAAGTAATAGAAAAATATTTAACAACGTTACACATTCACAAAAAACAACAATGGATGACTGATGAAATGCTGGAATTACTGGAGCAGAGAAGGAAACTGAACGGTAACAAGACAGAATATAAGGAAAAACAGAAACTAATTAAACAAAAAATAAAGGTGGCTAAAGAAAAATGGATGGAGGATAATTGCAAGGAATTAGAAAAGTTTAATGAAAAACATGATACGTTTAATATGTTTAAAAAAGTTAGAGAAGTAGCTGGTCTTTATCATAAGAAAACTCCACATACTATAATCGATTCGTCGAGAAAAATGATAATAGACAAACATGAAATTCGAACATCCTGGTGTAATTATATAAGTGAACTGTATAATGATGATAGACCCGAAGAACCGGAGACTTTAGTTGAAGGTGAAGGACCAGAAATACTAAAATCAGAAATACTGCATGCTATAAAGTTATCAAAGAACAAGAAAGCCGTTGGCCCTGATAACATACCGACAGAGATGTTAAAGCTTATAAATGAGGAGAACATTGGAATACTGGTCAAACTTTTCAATGATGTTTATTCGACTGGTGATATCCCTGAAGATTGGTTAAAGTCCGAATTCATAACACTAACAAAAAAACAACGTCCGAAAAACTATAGCGATTATAGAATGATAAGCCTTATGAGCCACACTTTGAAAATATTTCTAAGCACCATCCACAGTAGAATCCGAGATAAATGTGAAGAAGATCAGGATGAAACACAATTTGGCTTCAGAAATGGACTGGGAACTCGGGACGCCCTCTTTACATTAAATGTATTACTGCAGAAATGTCGAGATCAAAGGAAAGACGTCTTTGCTGTATTTATTGACTATGAAAAGGCCTTTGATCGAGTACAGCATCACAAATTAATTACAATATTAAAAGATAAAGGAGTTGATAGTCAAGACATACGATTCATAGAAAAGTTATACTGGCATCAAACAGCGACAGCTTGCATAAACGGAAAATCAACAGACATATGTAAAATATAAAGAGGTGTCAGACAGGGTTGTATACTTTCCCCACTGTTATTTAATTTATATTCAGATAGAATATTTAAAGAAGCGCTGTATAATTTGGAATGGGGCGTGAAAGTTAATGGAATTCTGATAAATACAATCAGATATGCAGACGATACAGTTATTTTAACTGATGACATGAATGGATTACAATGCCTTTTAAATGCCATTGATACAGTGGAAAGAGAGTTTGGCCTAAACATAAACTGTTCAAAAACAAAACACATGGTGTTTAGCCGTTTAGCACATCGAGATGCATGATTATATGTTGATGGTCATATAATTCAAAGAGTGTCCAGTTTTAAATATCTTCGTTGCCATAATACTGAACAAATATATCCAGATCAAGAGATAAAATGTAGAATCGAGATAGACCGCACGACATTTTTAAAAATGAGGTCATTCTTCTGTAATGATAACTTGAAACTTTAACTTCGAAAGCGTATGGTTAAATGCTACATTTGGTCAGTCCTCTTATACGGTGTCGAAGCATGGACATTAAAAATATCCACCATTAATCGTCTGGATGCCTTTGAAATGTGGCTGCACAGACGTATACTAAAAATTCCATGGGCGGCTATGCTGACAAATGTGGCAGTCCTTGAGAGAGCAAATGCTGCTCGCGAGCTGCTTGATAACATCAAATGTAGAAAGATGGCCTATTTTGGACACGTAGTAAGGGGAGACCGATATAATATTTTTCAACTTATTATGATGGGTAAAATCGAAGGACGCAGAGGAATTGGTAGAAAGCAGGCCTCTTGGTTAAAGAATATCAGAGAGTGGACAGGAATAAAGAAAGCTGAGCAAGTCTTTAGAATAGCTCGGGACGGAGACAGTTTCGCCATGTTAATCGCCAACGTCAAGGGGACTTGATAGGGCACGTTAAGAAGAAGGTGATTAATATTTATAGTGATAGTAATTAGTAACATCATTATCATCATCATCATCAGTTGACGCTACAGCCCTTTGTGAGCCCTTGCATGCGTCAAACATTATTCCATCCTATCCTGCCGAGTGTCTGTCTTCTCCATACCCTTATTCCAATATTTCTTAAATTATCCTGCATATCGTTAAGATAAATGAGCTTAGGTCGCCTCCTTCTTCTTCCGACTGGCCTATTTAGCGTGGTTATTTTAAAAGGATCACTTTCATCCATCCACTTAACATGACCACCCATCGTAGTCGGTTTATTTTGATGATTTTCACGATATCTGCATCACCACAAATTATATAATTTCGAAATTATATCAAATTCTCAATATGCTCCTCAATACTTTTTTTTTGAAGATTCGTAGTGACTCTTCATCTCGGGTCGTAATTTCCGATGTTGTCGATTTGTAAGTGAGCACTGGGCGTATAATTGTTTTATAAAGTTTGCTCGCCATTTTTTGAGGGGGTAGGCCAATTATTTTTCTTATTTCTTTGTATGTGTTATTTTTACAGTCAAGCAGTGACTCTAAGTAGATCTTTCACTGTTTCTATAGTTTCATGTTGCACCTCCCAAATTATTTTGGTATATTCTTGATATAGCCGGCGTATATGTAGTTTTCCGGGAGTTAATGCATCCAAATAGTTAATAGTTAATAGTTAACATAAATTAGAAAATATTAATTACCAATGAAACAATGGAACAACAACTTCTCTAAAAGTCTAGTCTCTTTGTCATTTTTTTTTATCGTAACGCTTTTCATTCAAAAGAATTTTCTACATAGTTTTTGCATGCCAACTTTTCTTGTTTTACTTGAAAAAGATATTTACAAAATAATTTTTCAATATAAGGTTGAATGTTCGAATGAATGAACTTTGATGGTACACAAGGCAAATATCGAACACAGTATTTAATCAAAATAATTTTTGTTGACAGATCGGTAACTCTACGGGGAACACTAGATAATATTCTAAACAATGCCGCAAGGGATTTAAGAGCACAGGCTGACAAAGTAGAGGCTGCTTTGGAGAAAAGAATTGCTTGTACACAAAAAGTAACAAAACATTTGGAAGACGAACTTAGAGGAGTGTTACAAAGACTCGCTGATATAGAGAGACTTAAGGATTCACTAAGAGAAGCCATTCGAAGACTAGACACTCCAATGAAGAAAGCTCAAACTCGTCTGGATAATCGTCTGCTTCGACCAAGAGTTGAAAATTGCAGAGATAATGTTCATTTCGGATTGATAGAAGAAGTTAAGACGATTGGTGAATCGGTGGCTGCTTTATCGGCTCAAATGAAACAAGCTGAAGAATCCCAAGGACGATTGATGCAAGTGAGAAGTGACCTAGAAAGAGAAATAATGTTAAAAATGAAAACGTTAGAAATAGATCATGGACGAACAAGAAGGATACGGTCTTATTTTCCATCTGCAGCAGCTCTTAGCGGATATTAATTTGATTTTTGTATTGTTTTATATTTATATTAATAAATTTACTGTTTTTGAATGCAATATTATATTATTGACTTCTCCACAAGTCTTCCTTAATCTGCTCTCCTCTTTGTCGCATCACCTTTCTGATCCAAACTTATATTCAATAATAATTAGTTATACAAAGAAATGTCCATTATTTATTGTTAAAAAAAATGTTATAATTATATGCATATTTACCAAGTCCGTCTTGAAAGTTCCTCCAAAACTGTGGAAAATCTCCAACATAACCGGTCCTATATGTTTTACATAAGTGGTAATAAGAAACTGCCACATCTTTGGGATTTCTTGCAACGTATATGACCTAAAATAATATTTAGATATAAATGCTGGACAAGTTTAATAATTAAGAGTGATTGAGATACTTTATATTTTCGTTTTTGTGTAGGGTATGAAAGAAAAATAATGTATTTAGATGCACTCAACATTGTTCTACGGGGCTAATGTATCAAAATAAGTACTCAGGATGACAAAATATAAAGACCAGTTAGTCAAAACGAAAAAGAAAACCATTGATTAAAGTGATCAGCGCCTCCAGAACAAGGACCATGGCTGCGTTACAGGGTAAAGCTCGTAAATTGCCAATACAGTCCCTAGTAAAAGAGAGATGTCCGCTATATGAAGATAGAAATGGACATGAACTATTTGTACCAAAAGAAATTAAAGAATGGATATTGTTTTGAAGCTATTTTCTTGTGACATTTTAAATTAATTAATATTTAACTGGGAATAAGCCACAATTAAAAATAAAAATACGTTTATTGACATTTCAATTTCCACTTCAGAAATCGTTCTCAAAATACAAACAGTAAATTAAACAAATTTTGTTTTTTGTTACATAGTGAAAAATTCTTCTAATAATTTTAATTTTATCTGACTCATTTATATTGACAATTCAGACATACATTATGCATTTTAAAGTAGACGACTTTAAAATGATATTGCCAATATCGTTGAGTTGCGCTCCTGGGACGACTTTACTTATAAGATAGTTCATTCGATTACATGAAATCAACTTTAACTTGAGAATATCCGTCAGAAAAAAATCATAGCATGTAATTCGTCTTTAAAAAACAAACACATGACATGATGACAGTAAAATTCTCCTTTTAGTGATTCCATTGTAAATTACGAGGGAAAAACCAGGAAAAAAACCGCATAATACTATCCTGACATGGTAAGTATTTGTTCGTGCATTTAGTTTACCTTCAATAAACACCAAAATTCTGATTTTATATGTTTCGTTATTTCAAAAACATAAATGATGTATCATCTATATGTTACTGACTTACCAGTACTGGTATTTTCTTATTAATAACTTCCTCTTTCAATAGTGGTAACCAGATCCTACTACATTCTACCGAGGAATTTGCGACACAATTGGCCTCATTTATCATAATTAGAGCCGCTTCTTTGATTTTTCTTTTTTTACCATCCGTTTCTTTTAGGACTACATTTGAATTATTCCATTGAACCCTATGTTCATTATCCCATGCGTGTTTACATATTTGTGATCTATCAAATTCTCTATTTTTAATATAAGATTGATGTTCACTTATTCTAACATTTAATGGCCTTGATGTTTCACCTAAATAAAACTGATCGCATTCACAAGGTATTTTATAAATGCAATTCTTTGTCCTTTCTTGTTCATTGTTAGGTTTGGTTTTGGACAAAATAGATCTCAACGTGTTTGTTGTTTTGAATGTTGTTGAAATGTTGAATTTATTTCCTATCCTTTTAAGTTTTTCTGATAATCCTTTTATGTACGGTATTGTTATTTTTCTCGTATTATTCCTTGTGTATGCTGTAGGATCTCGTTCTAAGTTGTTCTGTTCTATTCGATCGATTGTTAGTTAGTAACAGTCGAAAATCTGTGGCAAAACCAGTGGCACTGTAAAACGACTGTGGGTTTGTAAAACCGTAAAAATCTCAAATTTCCAACAGAACTCACCAAGTCATTTTTACTCGTCTTCGTCTAGGACATACCCGACACTAATCCCACTTTATGTAAAAACTGTAATATCCCACAAAGTGTTAAGCATGTACTTGTAGAGTGCCCAAGATACCAGTTGCAGAGACAGAACAAGCACATCATCGGATAAACAAGTGAAATCTTAGGAGAAAATTGTAAAATTGAATATTTGGTAAAATTCCTTTAAAGATATTAATAACATTTGTAAATAAACTATCTTATTTATATCTATAATGTCGCTAATAACCTCAGAGGTTAATGCGACTGTTTTGTAAATTAAAAAAAAAAGTGAAAAAAGGCAGCAAATATTTGATTTCACGCAAACAAATCCTATGTATCTGTTGATACGTAGATTATATTACGAATAAACAGATAAATTTCATTTTTTGTATTATTAAAAGTAGAAAATTTATATTACCTTACAACCTACGTCCAATAGATTGGGCGGCATTAGACTAAAAGGATTGTGAGTTTTAATATATCTTCTTTCCTTCATATTGTTTAAATCTTCTACTATCCCACGGTCCAGTCTTTGAATTATTTGAAGCTTTTCCGGGTCATGCTGATTTTCTTTTAACAACGCAGCTTTCATTTCGGGGTTTACAAGGCAACTAGATCTAGAAAACACACACATGTAGGAGTATATATTATATATTCATGAAAATCCGTTAAAAAACGTGATTGTTTCAATTAAAATTCGCTGTCTTCAACCATAAATACCTCAAACCGTATTGACCTCTAAAAAACTCTATGAAACGAAAGTTGCTTAGAATTGAATCCTCTATCGATTCTTATGATTATTATGAGCAAAAGAATTTCTACCCCCGAGAAGTAGTGGAAACCACATCTGGGGCGGAACCATCGAGCAAAAAGACAAAAGAAGGAATCTAATCCAATGAAAAGAAGACCAAAATTCATAAAAGTGGCCCCCTAATATGGCGGATATATCCGGAAATGCAAAGGCGCCAAACTTAAATTTTATGGCACTTTACAATAATCATACAGTCGTGTAGGGGTTCTAATTTATCTAATGAAATTTGTACAAAGTTTGAAAATTTTAATATAATAATTGTTTTAATTAGAAAAATATTTCATGTTTTCAGAATGTGCCTTAGACGAGAAAGTTTGAATTAACCCTTTAACAGTTAGTGGCAACAATAGAAACCACTTACAGTACAGGTCATTAAGCCACGTAAATTTAAGTTATTATTATCTGTAATAGTTGTTTACGTCCCGCGCAACGCTCACTGCCTTCTTACCAGTGAAGCCACTTACCCTGCCCCCTCCAAAATAAGATACAACTGGCTTCTATGTGTGCCAGTAACCGTTGCGAGCTGCTGTATAATTTCGAAAGCACGTATAGCAGTTGTACTTTGTATTGTGTTGTGCTCAAATTATTAATTGTAAGTATATTTTTCATTGCATAATAATGTAAAACTCAATTTCTGTAGCATTTTATTAAAACAAGATATGCGCTAAGGAAATCCAGTGAGTTTCTTATACTATTTGTCCTATTTTTAATTATGTTTTGTGTTATGAGAACTTGTGATTTTATTTTATTTTTGTTGCAAAAAATTACTTCAAATAGAGACAACATCACTATCGAGAAATTAGAACATTTATCTGATAATCAACTGTATGAGTTTATCATTGGCATTACAGATAATATGGCTGACATATCTGACTTTGGGGGGTAGCGACGCCGAAGACAATGTGTTAGTCTCTACACACAGCGGTTCTAGTACACCCCGTTCATCTAATGTTTCAATAGCTGATCCACCTACATCTTCAACACCTGGCCCATCCCGTCCTTCCAGGTAGAAGATAAGAAATAAAAGTTTATTTAGTTTTGAGAAATCGGAATCAGATATTGACTATGACTCGGATGACTCAATTAGTGACAAGTACTGTGTTCCTGAAAAGAAAATTTTAAAAAGACGTTTTGTTTCATCTTCATCTAGTTCCGACGATATCAGTCTCGAAGATTTCGGTTTGCCATAACTCGAGATCTGACAGATGCAAAGCCAAACCATATTTTAGAAGATCAACCCGAGATTGAAGAAAGCACCACCAATTTAGCAAGTGATTTTTCAATGAAATGAAAGAATAACTCACAATTTCAGGACAAATTCAAAAATTATAATTTTGTACAACATTTTCGATCAAATTTTTCTAACATAGAAGAAGCAAAACCTGTGGAAATATTTAAAAAATATATTTTCAGATGAGTTACTAAACAAGATTGTTGAGGAAATCAATCTAAGCAAAATAAGCATATTTTTTTAATTGAGATAGACGAACTCCAAGCTTTTTTTGGAATCCTAATAATCATGAGATTTCATCAACTTTCTGGAATAAGAATGTATTGGTCTTATGAACAAAATTTTTGAGTTCATAGAATTGCAAACATTATGGGCGTAAAGCGTTTTTTAGCGATTTGACGTCACATCCATTTGAACGACAATGAAAAATGACCAAAAAGGTGAAAATAACTTCGATAAACTTCATAAATTGAGGCCACTGATCGACCATCTAAATACAGAATTTAAACTTTTATTTTCACCATCTAGAGAGCTTTTAATAGATGAAAGCATGATAGGCTTCAAGGGGTGCTCAACTTTAAAGCAATACATAGCCATGAAGCCTGTTAAACGAGGCTTCAAAATTTGGGCTATGGCCTGTGCACGAACAGGTTATATGCTTTTATTTAAAGTATATGAAGAAAAGGAAACCAGTCACATTGAGGGTACATTGGGTAAAAGAACTGTTCTGAACTGGAAAAAAAGAGAAAGTACCCTGTCCACAATCAGTAGCTGAATACAACAAATTCATGAGAGGCGTTGATCTTTTTGATCAATACCTTGCTTCCTACTCCATCTCATGTAAAAGTCGTAAATTATGGATGAAAATTTTCTTCTACCTTTTAGATTCTGCGATTGTGAACGCATATATAATGTACAAAACCTCAATGGCCGCTGAAAGAAAAAAGCCATGTCTCATTTACAATTTCGATCGATACTAGCCAATGAACTAATTGGTAATTTTTCCGGCAGAAAACAAAGAGGTGCACTAACTACTACAGGCAAAAAAGAAAATGCGTTAAATTGGTGGACGTTCTATTTCTACCAATAATGCTACTAGAAAAACGGATGCTGGGGTGAATTTACCAGTAATGGGGAGGTATAGGAGTTGCTCCACCAAATCAAATGTGAAGAGATCAAAAAGAGCATTAGTGAGTGTAATATTGGTCTGTTATTAGAATTTTGATGGTACACAAGGCAAATATCGAACACAGTATTTATTTGCCTTGTGTACCATCAAAGTTCATTTATTCGAACATTCAACCTTATATTGGTGTTATTAGAATGTTTGGCAGAATTTCATAAAACTGGGTAGATTTTTATTTTGAACGGTCGCTATTTAGATTTTGTAGAAATGTTATGTTTGTGAATTTTCCGTTTTAATTTGTACCATCTTTAAATAAATATATTTTGAAACATTTTTGTGATTTATTTATATAAAAAATAAGTGGTTATATAGCTAGCCACCAAACTCTAGATGTTATTGGGTTTCCAGGACGGTTCCATAATAGTCTAAAATGTGACACAATTGTTAAAAAACTTCAATATAAATAAGCTTTCATGTGACAGTTGGGACAAACAATAACATAACCGAACTAAATTTGATTTCTTAAATAAGGAAAGAGACTCTCTTTCCTTGTTTAATGCGGCCTCTCAAAATTTCACTTCCCGTCTAACAATATTTTTGCTCCCACTACCTTTACATTCCCTCTTCTGTCCTTTTGCTCGATGGGCGGAACACAATCGGCCTTATATAACTTTGGTTTTTTGAGCACGTTCTCATTAACTGTTAGGGACCTCAGTCCCGATGTTAAGACATAACAAAATAGAGTCAGTAAAGTAAATTAGGGAGAAAAGCCAACACTTCGGCTACCCCTACAGTTAGGTGGCATAACCACAGTTATTAAAAACGGAAGGTACCTCATTACCCAGGGTACCTTTAGTAAATCTAAGATCAAAGCCTCCTCACGTCAGTCGTACGTTGAGCAGGGGTGGAGGAAAAACCTGGGGGTCAGATAGGTACCACTTCAACTAGTGAAGTGAGACCGGTTTGATCTTCGAACATGTGGATCCCACCCTTACGGTGGTATACACATGTTCCTAGGGTAAGGGTTGATCACCTCGTGTGTTAATGTGTGTGTGCACGTTCTCATTAACTCACCAAATTTCAAGTGAATTGGTTCAGTCCGGCAAAATTGGAAGGTGAATAGCCCTATTGATTGGAGTATTGGAGACATTCGATACAATCTGATAAATTTAAGACCCAAAAATGAACAAAATACGTTTAGGAAACGGGTTTTTACTCAAAATATTAACGAACTAGAACCTTTAAAGTAACAAAATCAAAAATACTTACTCCAAAAATGGAAACCTCTCTTTTAGATTTACTTGACTTGCTTTCTTATAATCTAAATTGTTAGATAACAGCCATACCATTTCTTGAGTCCAGGTTGTACCTAAAAGTAATTAAATACGTAATTAATATTCTTAAATTCAAATTATGCTCTATCTATATATCTAAAACAAAAAGCCTTAATTGTACTCTGTTGAACGTATGCCCTATATATCTATCTATCTATCTATCTATCTATCTATCTATTTATAGCTCAAAATCTATTTATGTGTTGAATATAGGCCTCTCCCATTTGTCTCCATTTGTCTTTGTCTTCTGGTTGTTTTTTCCACATTGGACCTCCGCTTTGCTCAATGTCATATTTCCATTTCATTTGCGATCGACCTCTGGACCTTTTTGCAGTATATGGTCTCCAGCGGCCAATTCCTTTATTCCATCTTCCATCCTGATATCTTTCGTTATGACCAGCCCATTTCCATTTTAATTTCAATGCATGTTCGACAGCGTCTGTTGTTTCGGTTTTGCATCTTATCCACTCGTTCCTCTTTTTATCTCAACGATATTCCCAACATTTGTTTTCCCATAGCTTTTGGAGTTTTCTTTATTTTGTCTAAGTTGCTCTTGGTACACGTCCACGTCTGGGCACCATATGTCAGAAGGTAGGGCGCATGCATTAAATACCTTCGTTCTTAATTTTAATGGTATTTTTTGGTTTTTGATAGAATATGAGAGTTTTCCGAATGCAGCACACCCCATTCTTATTTTTCTGGTTATTTCTTTAGTTTGGTTACTTTTGTCTGCTCTGATAGCTTGTCCTAAGTAAATATATTCTTGGACGTGTTCTATGTTTGTTCCACCTCTGGTAATTACGCATCTGTATTAGTCATCATTTTAGTTTTCTTTAGATTCATTTGTACGTATGCCCTATTTTGTCAATATTTAAGTCCCTAAGGTTTTGCTACTCCTCTCTATCTTTGTTATTTGTTATTATGAATGAAGAATTAAGAGAACAGTCGAAGCTAGTGTTGTCATCCGTCAATTGGGTGCTCTCTCTATTATTAAACTTAGAGAATTAATAAAGGAATTATGAGTATCTAGTGACTTAGAATAATTAACCACCTACACGGGGTAAAATACCCCTAGAGTTCCACTATATGGAACTTTTGATAGAAGCAATCCCAAACATTATAAGAATCTACATTATTTTAATGGCAAGCTTCTAGTTCTGATCTATTGACTTAATTCAATTCATGATTCACTTTGAAAATTTTACGGTCCGTTTCAAACAGTCTTTGTGAAAAGCTTTAATTCTTTACTAAAAATTACTCAAGACTAATCTTCTATCGACCGAGAAAATTTAGATTTTGCCCAAAATAGCCTGGCTTACCTTTGTTTTGCTGTTAACAATGACTTTTACTTTGACTAGAAGAAAATATCTTAAAATATATTAAACTGCGAGTACTCTTTTGTTCCTGTAATTCAACCTTATAAAACTGAGAATTGTATTTCCACTTGCAGCAAGCTTCATGCGACTGACTTAATTCAATTTCATGATTCTATTTAGCTTTTAACAATAGTAGAAGACTTCTATGGAGAACTTTATAAAAGCAGACGGATGAACGAAACACAGCTAAAAGATGCAATAAGCAAAACAATATTAAATCAAGGCTCTAACTCATGCCAGAAATACCTCTCAGTTAAATTAGACAAACGACGAATAAAATGAAATCCAATAAATCACCAGGAGACGATGGAATTGTGATTAAGGCTGTTCAGAATGGCGGTGAACCTCTAATAATGAAAATAAAAGATCTTTTTAATCTATGTTTGACAAAAAAATCCATACCCTCTGAATGGAATAGAGCCAAAACCATTCTTCTGCACAAAAAAGGAGAAAAAACTGATCTGGAAAATTACAGACTTTTCCGTCTGTATTTCTAATTTGTACATTGCCTCCCACAGTTCTGACTTTGGTACAGAGTCATACGCGTTTCTCAGGTTTACAAATGCCAAATATATATATATATATATATATATATATATATATATATATATATATATATATATATCTATTTTCTGCTTTTTTTCTATTCCAACAGTTGTTCCAGTGTGCATATGTGGTCTATGCATGATCTTCCTGCCGTAAAGGCTGCCTGATCCTCCTCGATGTTACCTTTTATCGCTTGCTCTATCTTTTCTCGCAGTATCTTTCCATATAATCTTCCTATTGATGATATTACGCTTATTCTTCTGTAGTTTTCGCGTCGTTCTCTATCTCCTTTCGTAAATATAGATGTCTTATATGATTACGTTCATTCCTTTGGGAGCTGTTCTCCATTTATGGCTTTCTGAAATATCCATTGTTTTATTTTTCAATGAATTGTGGTCTTTGTTCTGTTAACAGTTTCTTGTAATAGTCCTTCCATTCTTTGTCCTGTTTATTTCCCAATTTATTTGTTTCTTTTGAGTTTTGTTTCAATCCTCTCAGTACTTTCCATGACTCCGAAGTTATTGTACCTACTATGTATGTTTCAATATTTAAGCAGGTTCTTTCCCATTCTTCATTCTTTTGTTGTGTTATTTGTTTTTTCACTTCTCTATCTTTTTTTCTATATTCTTTATAAACTTCAACGTGGTTTGTAGTCAGCTATTTTCTATATAAGTACTTGCTTTTTTCTTCAATTATTCTTTTTATTGGTTCATTTATTTCGTAATAGTGCTGTTTATTTGTTATATGTTCACTTTCTCCAAGTGCTTCGAATGCTGCTTGTTTTACACTCGACTTTATAGGCTCGTATATTTATTCGATGTTGCTGTATCTAAATTCTATTAATTTTTGGTCTAGACGTTGTCGGTATAGTTCTCTTATTGATTGTTCTTGGAGTAGTTCTATATTGTATTGTTTTTCTTTTATAGTGTTCGGTTCTTCTGTAGAGGAAATCTTGTTATGTTTCCAATTAATGCTTATTTTTGCTGTCAGTAGTATATGGTCCGTTCCACATTCTGCTCCTCTTCTGACTCTTACATCTTTCATCTTTATTGTGGTGTCTTGTTTGATTATTATGTAGTCTATTGTCGATTTTAATGCGATTTTGTTCATCTTCTCCAAATTCTCCACTACTTTATCATTTTCTTTCCTTCCGGTTCTGCCGTTAAGGTCTCCTGTTATAATTATCTCCACGTTGTTCTTAATTAGCTCTATTTGATGTTGAAGTTGTTCCATGAAATGTTCTTTTTCTACTCTCGGGGAATCGGCTGTTGGTGCATATTATATTCTCTCGTTGATTGGCTCCCATGTTCTAACCCTGTTCTTTCACTTATTTTTGATTAGTATTCCCCCTCCTGACTTTGATCTACATTCTTTATCAACTCCGCTCCAGCAGTGAATATGGTCTTCTATTGTTTCCATTCCATTTCCTTTCTTTTTGGTTTCTGTTGTATGTATGGACTAGCATGTCGATGTTGCTTTCTCTAAACTCCTTGATTACTTCCGTCGCCTTTTTGTTCTATCCTTGTATATTCCACGTTGCACATATGAATGTTCTATCTTTTCTTCGTTTAGATTTTTGGTTGAGCTTTAATAAGACTGGTTCTTCCGAACTCTTCGCAATATTGCCCCCACCCGTATCCGATGGGGCTCCCTCTGTGGATTTCCACCTGGGGATGTGTTTCCGTATTTGGCTTTTTTATCTTACGATTATCGTTCTTTTTAGCCTTAAGTTTTTCTGTGCGTTAGGTTGCCAATTCCTAACTCCACAACCCCTGTTTGGAGGACCTTTTCTTCAGGATCTGGATTCAGGATTCAGAACCTATTCTGGATCAGACGCTCTTGGTTCTTCCGCCCTCTCGAAAATTGTGACTTTTTCAGCCATCCTCTGCTCTTGAGACCGTTGACCGGTTTTTACCTGTACCCCAGGCAGTGACTCTCGCAGGGTGCTATCAGCCAGGTCAGCTGAACCCTGGTTTTTTTAGAGGTGTTACTCCTCTATCTCTGCTCTTTTATCCGGGCTTAGGAACAGATGCATCGGGACTAGAACTACTCAGTTCACCCCATACAAATCCAGGCAGAGTTTAATTAATTGTTAAAAGTTAAAAACTCCCTTCCTCACTACTAGATCGGGAACCTTTCACTTCCCTAGTGTTAACGAATGAAAATGAATGGTTTGAATCTGATCATTTACCTGTACGACATTGGTAATTGCAGCACTGTATTGTTGTGTCTATATACATAACTTTACTTTCACTTACCTGACCTAGGAAACGATATGACAAAAATATCGCTTGGCCTTGCAACGAAATTATAGAAATCATGTGCTTGTCTCTCGTAACCGCTGGGGTAGAACCATTTCTTTGGACCTACTTGCAGATATTTGGTTTTCTCTCCTAAAATAAATTTTATTATAAAGGCCAGAATACTCATAAAATTGTATGCAACATTTTTAAGTAACATTACAAAACAACGTTTTGTTTCAATCATGTCTGGGACATGTGTTTTTGGGTTGGCGGGATATTAGTACGAATTGAGTATGAAGAAGTTCTTCACAATGAAAGGCCGAAATTTTCGACAGAAATGTAAGTGTGTTTTTTATAGTAAAGAAGCTTGTTTTTTTTTAAACTAATGTATTACATTTAATATTAGTCTAGCCAAATAATTGCAGTATTTTCTTGTTAAATTTTAACATAGTTTCTTTTAGAAAATTAACTTTCTTTTTCTACTTACACATTAAGGTGTGCACAGTGCAGGTTGAAATTAACTGTGTGTTATTTTATTTTTTATTTTAGATTTCTTGGACAAGCAAAAAGATGTCGATGATGAAATTCTTAGAACGATGGATGAAGACTCAGAGGTAGAAGGTTTAAGCGATGATTCAGATGCTGACGATACAGGCAGACAGAGGCTCAGGAACCTACTAGGATTCTGGCAGAGAGCGATGACAAATCGGATAGTAGCAACCAGGAAATTCAGCCGCCAAATGAAAACTTGGTAAAAAACGAACCCATTCTATATGAATTTAAATATGAATATGAATTTGTTTGCAAACCAACACGGAAATATTGAAACTCCTCTAAAAGATTTTAATAAATATTATCCAAACGATATTTTTGACAAAGCAGCGTTATATTCGAATATGTACTCATTGTCAAAAAAAGGGAAAGCATTAAATACGACAGCAGCTGAAATCAAAAAACTGTTCGGGGCCCATTTGCTCTTTGGTTGTACTCGGTATCCTCGTTTATCCTGGTATTGGAAAGCTGAGTTAAAAATATCAAGTGTATTTGATGCTTCACCCAGAAATAGGGTTATACAACTAAAAACTTGCCTTCACTTTGTTGACACAAATTCTCCTGAAGCTATTTTCTTGTGGTATTGTAAATTAATTACTATTGAACTGGGAATAAGCCACAATCAAAGATAAAAATACGTTTATTGACGTTTCAATTTCCACTTCGGAAATCGTTCTCAAAATACTTATTATTAAGTTAGGCTGAAATGCGGGAAGCGGCAATCGATGTAGGACCCCCGTTATAAAAAAAAATAAGAATTAGATTTAGATAAGAGATAACAAGAATTTGGAAACTTATTTCTGTTGAAAAAGGCAAAATTGTTAATGGTTTCTGAAAAGTAATTTGAGTGAAAGTAGTTTAATTGTTTTAAATATCATGTTGGAAATTTTCTAAATCAAAAATAAGTGGGAAAGATGAATGCTTATGATTGGTTAAAAAAGAATGGTGGGAATGAGAGAGTTGAGAAGGTTGTCTGGGAGAGATTGAAAGATTATTATGTTACCGGCAGACCAGAAGAGAAGACGTGTTTTCGTGTAGTCAATCTGAGTACCAGTGTTTTCGTTTGTTAGTGAAAAAGGTGGAAGCTGAGAGCAGATCAAAATCGAGAAGATTAATACCTCTTTTGAGTCTGCATAGTCCACGAGATATAATTGAGAAAGAAAGGAGAATTTGTGAATAAATAGTACCGGTCAAAAGAGGCTTGGGCTTGTGTTTTCGGAGGAGTAATTTGCTGGTATGCGGTTTGGATCGATGCTGAGAACGGGAAAGATTTGATGATGACGATGGAATAAACACCTCAGGAACGCCTATGACAATACAAATTTTACAACTGTTTTATGACTTTGAGGCACATTTGGTGCTCTCAACAATTTGTGAACGGATTATAGCTGCTAATGAAGTTGACAGTCTATCAGCGAAAATTTCACATTTAGAATAAAGCTCTTCACCAAACTGGCATCAGGAAAAAGAACTATCAGTTCATAAATAATAAAAAATGCAATTTTTCGAAAAACTGACTATTTTTAAAGAGTTCGTATCTTCGAATCTGCTAAATATATTTTAATGTAACTGTAAGTTAAAATCGGTCCACTGGGCTCAGAGATACATATTTTCAAATATAGGGTAAAAAGGACTATTTTTATACTTTCGAGGGGCATATTTCAGACCTAAGGGCACCTTGAGAGCTAAAAAATAGTTGGAGTACAATGATATACTAAAATTTGGAAAATATTCCGCAGACCCCCTCCTCCACAAAACTGGTCGAAAAGTAAAAATATTACTAATATATTATATTATACAATATAGATTATTTTTATTGATTTTTAACAGCCCATACCTAAAATTTAAATAGGTGACTAATAACTAAAATTACTGATATATTTGTTGAAGTTTATGACCATCATATTGGGAAAATTTGTTAAAATTGGGAACATTAAAATGCTATTACAATAACCAATTTGTTTGTTCTTGATCAAATGCTTTTCTTTAGTAGACTAATTAGAAGTTAATCTTTTGGCTTATGGCATATTTTTTCACTAATTTTTCACTAATTTATTACCACCCTAATAATTTTTCCCCACCAAACCACCCTTAGTGGGATCCATTCTGCAGGCTTAAGGTTTAAGCTAGCAGAATTCAAAAAAAAGCTTTTTGGCGATGGCATATTTTTTACGCATTATTCACTAATTGATTACCACCCTAATAACTTTTCACCACCAAACCATCCCTAAGAGGAGTGATTTTGCTGGCTTGCGGTTAAAATGAGTAAAATTTCAAAAATAATATTTATGATATACCACAGTGCTCTGCTAGGTTTTTATGAACTTATTAGCATACTAGTAATTATTCAACCTTCAAATACTCCTTATGAGAAGTCAATAATTCTGTTGGGTTAATATTTAAGGTGATAAAAAATCTATTTTTACAATTTTACTGTACTCTTCTTGTAACTGAAAATATACATTGTTTAGCAGGTTTTTACTGAATTTTATCCACCCTCATAATTTTTGCCCCCTAAGCCACAGGTAATGGAAAACATTCAAAACTTCAAAGTTACACATTCACGCTAGCTAAATGCGAAATCTTTTTGCAAATACAAAAGTGCTCTAGTAGATTTTTACTATATTTTTACCAGCCTAGTGATTGTTTTCTTAACTGCCTTAATTAAAAACATTCTGAAAAACACTCTGTGCTAACTAATATTTATTTTTTCAATGTTTAAATATTGAAAATATGAAAATACTTTATTAAAAAAATTATAAATTTTAACTGTTTTAAAAAATTGACTCTGATTATAGTTGTGAGTACATTGCTAAGAGAAAGCAAATCATGAGTCCCTTTTACGAATATCAAATAACAGAAATCAAGTTGAGTTTTAGTAAATGCAATGGAATTGTTTTATTTCACAAAATAATTACCAGGTAAGAAATATTCAAATTGAAATAATTTTATTATGTCTATTACATTAAGTACCTAATATAAAGAAGGGTCGGGATACTTTGCGTACCTATTGTTAAAAGATTAAAAGATTTGTATTTATTGGGACATCCATCGGCCTGGGCGATATATAAAAAGAAAATTTTCGCCATACATTTTAACCTAACAGAATAATTGATTGATAGAATACAGTAACATTTTAAAAATATATTTTTCATCACCTTAAATTTTAACCTAAAAATTGTTGATTTTCCACATGGGTTAGTTGAGGGTGAAAAATTGTTAGAGTGGTAATAAATTCGTAAAAACCTAGCAGAATGTGGTATTTCTAAAATAATTTTTATTAATTTCGCTGGCTCGAATACTAAGCTAGCAGGAACATTTCCAAATAAAATTGGTTAAGGGGTGAAGAATTATCATGGTGATCAAAGTTTAGTCTAAACTTAACAGAACACTTTTTTATTTCAGTTATAAGTAGAGGAGAGTGAAATTGTAAAAGAATACTTTTCACCAAATTTTAACCCAACAGAATTATTGGCTTTCCGTAAGAGGCAGTTGAAAGGTGAATAATTACTAGAGTGGTAATACATACGTTAAAACCTAGCACAACACTGTGGCATTTTAAAAATATATTTTTTTCTAATTTTACTGGCTCAAATATTAAGCTAGCAGGAACATTTCCAAATAAGATTGGTTTAAGGGTGCAAGAGGGTGCATAAGGTTAGTTTAAGTTTAGTAAATATTTAAAAAACACTTTATTTTAGTTATAAGTAGAGGAGAGTGAATTTGAAAATAATAATTTTTTTTTAACTTTTAATCTAACAGAAATATTGACTTTCCATAAAGGGTAGTTAACGGGTGAAAAATTACTAAGGAGGTAACAAATTGATAAAAACCTAGCAGGGCACTGTGGAATATCATAAATATTTTTTTTTTGAATTTTATCAGTTTTAACCGTAAGACAGCAAAATCGCTCCCCTTAAGGGTGGGTTAGTGGTGAAAAATTATTAGGGTGGTAATAAATTAATAAAAAATGGGTAGAAAAATATCCAATTGGCAAAAAGATTTTTTTCTGAATTCCGCTAGCTTGAACATTAAGCCAGCAGAATCGAAGGTGGTAATAAATTAGTGAAAAAGTGGTGAAAAAATATGCCATAGACAAAAGGTTTTTTTTCCTAATTCTGCTAGCTTGAATCTTAAGCCAGCAGAATCACTCCCCTTAAGTGAAAAATTATTAGGGTGGTAATAAATTAGTGAATAATTGGTGAAAAAATATTACGTAGGTTAAGTTGGATTCCGCTCATTTGTCCCCGCTAGCTTAAGGGTCCTGCCGTTTTTAAACGGGCACAACAAACCATCAATGAGTTAAAGAATGCCGTTAGACTCTTCTTTATGGACTTGAGACAACTTTTATTCCATAACATTATGAGAAATCTGGAATATCGGTATGAAGTCTGTCTTGAGAGAGGAGGAGCTCATTTAGAACATGTTATAAAGTGTCGATAATATGTATTTTTTAAAACCATAAAATAATTACAAGTTCAATACTGTTTATTTTGGGCTATACTGTATTTTAAGAAAGACACTAAATACCAACAATTACAAGACCAAGGAGACCGACCGAACATATTATGTAGGTAAAATATAAAATACTACAGAAGAAAGATAAAGAAAAGAAATAAGGATGAATCAGTAATAAAGCGAACAAATAATGGAAAAGATAAAACCATACTAAAGATTATTTAAATGAAAGTACAGAATAGCTTAATATTTCAAATTTAACGATTTTCAGATATAAACTTTGTGAGGGAGCCTTGTACTGGCTACCTACATCATGAGAGTTGGAAATCTTTTGATTCCAAGCCTTACTTCAAAGGACTTGTGAATGGATGCATCTCCATAGGTTTGGTTCTTCAGTGACCGTTGAAGAATAAGGATTATTAATGTGAACAAATATAGCTCCAGAGAAATAAAATCACTTGTGAGTTTATCGATTTATAATTAAATCTTTTAAGAGTAGAGAGGCCCAACACGACCGTAACTTACTATACAATATCAAATATACTCTTTCTTTATAACACGTAAAATAAACACGAGAGAATAAACATGAGAAAATGCCCTAATTCGGCTGAGAGAAATATTGCATTTAACACTTATTCTTAAGCGTTACTTACTTACTTACTTACGCGTGCTAGTCACAGCGAGTTCTTAACTACTCGCTGTGATGGCTCCATGGCCTGATGGCCATGTGTCAACTTGAACTGCTCTTACTGCACTAATAAAAAAACTACATAATGCGTAAAATGGGAAGATTTTATTTTATTTAGGTGTGAAAAATATTTAACAGGGTCAGACGTCAAACGCCAGGGTGTCGCGTTCAAACTTAATAAAGTGTGTTCTAGTTATTATACACTAAGAAAAGTCAAAGAATTATATTTTTATTTTATAGTCCGTCTAGAAAGTATCCGGAATTTTATGTTTTTCCTAATTTTAATAGATTTCCTTTTTGTAACATTTTAAGACAAAAGTAATGCATCAAGTAGGTTGTGCCGATAGTAGGTTATGGACAAAATCGCATAACAATGCTATCTGTCAAATATTGTTATTTGTAAACAAACTTAAGATTTGTGAAATAATGTCGCAAGTAGTAAAAAGAAAAGTGGTGAAATATTTGTATAGAAAGTGTGTCCGAAACGTTAAAAAATTAGTGCAATTGACTGAACTCGGAAAAAGTGCAGTGTGTGAGACAATAAAGGGGATAAAAAATGGCATAGATATGAAACATAGACCAGTTTCGGGTAGAGTTAAGTAGGTCAATTTAAATAGTTTAGTGGCTTTAGGACGACAAAATTGGCGCCTAGTGTTTCGAAAATTACCGAACAAGATTTGGAAATCAACGAAGAATAAAAGTGTGCCCAGAAACTGTCCGCATGTCCTATCAAGAGAAAATGTTACCGTTCAAATTTACAAATTTCACACTAAAACAATGGTTTGGGGAGCAATATCTCAGCGTGGTGCTACATCTCTCTGTATAGTTAATGGTACTGTTGATAGTGCGAAATATTGTGACATCCTAAATGGTTTTCTTGTTGAAACGGCTCATGTTTTATATCCAAAGGGATGGCGTTTTCAGCAAGATAATGCAAGATGCCATACTTCTGCTTATACTCAAGCTTGGATGCAAGAACACGAATTGTCATTAATTCCGTAGCCATCAGCATCTCCAGATCTTAACCACATTGAAAACATATGGGGACTGATGAAGATTAAAGTGAAACGAGCAGCGCCACGAGACAAAGAAGGTTTGATTGGGTTAGTTTTATAAGCCTGGAACACCAGTATCGAAAATTATGGCCTTGAGCTAGTTTCGGATGTACCTAAACGTTTAGTTAAGACTTTAGATTTAAATGGAGGTTGTATAACTAAATGAGATGAATTATTTGTTGACATTTTATATTTCAAGTGATAGAAATAAATACCGTAAAATTATAATTCTGCTTTCTTTTTTCCGGATACTTTCTAGACGGATTATATATTTTAAAACAATATGTTCATTTCTGGAACACTTTGGGTAGAATTTAAGGTATGTACAAGTTTTACATTAAATCTTTTGATTTTTAGTACCAACTTTATTTAGCAGATAATCAGTTGTTTTTAATATATATTTAAATAAATTAATCAACGAGCTATACTTATTAAAAATTGTACAAAAATAATAATGATTGATAGAAAATGAAAAAGCACTCACCTTTGGACAAATCAATTTCCTCCCCATTGTTTCCCTCAACCGGTTGAATTTTGTACGGAAAAATCTTAACCTTACTCTCGCTTTCATTGTTATTGTTGTTATTAGCTACTTTTTCGATGTTCGTCGGAGTGGAAGCCATATTGAAACGGGCGTGAAACAAAACTTGATAAGATGAATTTCAACAATTTACTGTCCACTGTTTGTCGACTTATGACAATAAGAATTTTCGTTTTTAACGATGTAAACTATCGTCGTGTACCACCTCACGAGAACGTAGCGGAAATTTTTTTGGAAAGGAAAATTTGTGACAGCCCCTTGGTATTTCTTGTATTTAACTATTAGCCTAATTATGATCAAATTAAAGAGGAATGCTTTTATAATCGTTTTACGAGTAACTTATTTTTTATTTAGTAAAGTGATAGTGCTAGAAATACGATAGAAATTACATAAGGTACCAAAAGCTGTGTTTATATATAAATAACCACAAAATAGGATACAACAGCACAAGAAGAGTATAAAGCATTAAAAATATACATAACATAACTAAAATAAAGTCCGCTTATATTTTTTTGGCGCGCAAAAAGTAACATACTACACTGGTTGAAACTATTCGTTGCGCATTTACAATTTACTTTACTTATGTACAAACATTAGATTTTATAAGTTTAACTGGTTAAGATGATTTATTTAAAAAAAATCCGCGTTTAAAATGAAAAGGTTATTTTCGGTTTCCTCAAAAATTCCTATTTTTTTCAAAATAACTTAAAAAATAAAAACAATACAGGAAAAATATTACAGAAATAGTGATACAGTGATAAAAGATACAAATTATAAAAAACTGCATTTTTTTAATAAAAATTTTGAATTATTTTTTTATAGACTGAAAACTAAACGAGAAATGATTGTATAAAAGTTGTATTCGCATGAATTTAGCACAACTTCAAGCTTTTTCAGCACAACCCTTTTTAAAACAAAACCGTCAAAAAAATTTAATTAACAGTATATGTATATATATATATATATATATATATATACATATAAATATATATATATATATACATATAAATATATATATATATATAATATATATATATATATATATATATATCGGAAAAAGGAGTACGACCGTCAATCCAATATATATATAAGGATCACTCAGACGAGTGGTGGGTTCTTATATCGGTCTCTAGGTGGAGAAATAAAAGACAAAGTTGATAGGCTACTTTATCTATTTTGAAGACGTTTCGCTTTCGAGTTTTGAAAGCATCATCAGTTCATCTAAAAAATTATTACAATATGAAAACCACACAATCATGGAAACGATGTTAATTGTTACCTTAAAAAGATATGTAGCAGTCAATGTTATTAACAAATATGTGAATGAAACTAAGTAAATGGACATAGTACGCTGATCTTGTATAAACAGTTAAGCAACTAACAACATATATGAACTTGTACAAAAATTAGCACAGCAATTGACCATGTGGTCCGAAATAAATTCAATGTTATTTAATGTTAATAAGTGAGAAAGAACCAAGAAAATCATAAATAACCTCCAACTATTTAATGGATATTAAACTTTGATTTTAACTTTCGGTAGCATTATAAGTAATATTAATAAAATTCTAAAAAATAGTGAATATGAAGTTACCGATCAAAGCCCTATGGATGTCGCCGTGAAAATGGCGTTAGATGAAACAGGAACGAACTAAACCGCAAAAAGACAGCCAACCTTGAGGTCAAAATTACTTTTGACAGATCAACAAGGTGTAAATACCAACCCAAAATTTTGGGCGGTTAATTTAATTTTAACTGAGTCTGGATGACCACCAGGTTGTAAAGGACAACAACAGTGAAAAAAGTTGGTAGTGTAAACACAACTCCCCTCACTAACCGGCCCAAATTTACAAACCAGAGATTTTCATTCAAACTCATAATAATGTAATGACGTTAATCATATGGCAAGTTAAATAGCCAGGTGGTTAACGATATTATAATTTCCAAACAGCCCAAGGTTCAATATACTTGGAGCTGTGATTTGTAAAGGATTCTATGAATCAATTACAATGTTTGTATTATTTTATATATAATTTGAAACATTAATCAAAGAAAATAGTGTAATGAAATGCAATATGGGTTGCATATGTAATAGTAAAATTAAGTAAAGAAATTAAGTTATTTATTTGATATATTTATTTATTTTATTTCTATTTATGTATGTAAATTGTTTTATGAAAAGTGGAAAAAAGTTCAACTAGTACACCTAATATGACATTAATGTAGTGAAAAGATTAAGAAGCCTAATTCTGCAAAATTAAAGCATGATATATCTGGCTCAAGTTACTTATGTCAGTTCTCTTATTCAATGCATTAGGATGTTTTAATATTGAACACATTTCCAAAAACTGTCTTTTAGCTAGATTGCGTTCAGTGGCAAGAATCTTAACTTCATTAAAATCCACTTCATGTTTTGTATTTATCGCATGTTGTGCTAGAGCACAAGTGTGTTTCGATAAGTTAATGTCGCTACGATGTGAAGTGAGACGACCTTTCAATGATCTACCAGATTGCCCAATGTAACAAAGATCGCAATTAGCGCATGGAATTTTATAAATTGTGTTCACTTGTTCCAAAGTGGACAAGGGTGTTTTAGTTTTAGAGAACAAATTTCTAACAGTTTTTGCATTCTTAACAGCAATTTTAACAGGTATATTATTTTGTTTGTACAATTTAATAAGCTTCTCAGTAACTTGAGGGAAATATGGTAAGGAAGAGTAATGCGTGATAGTATTCTCAAGATCGGTATTATGCAGAACAGTGCTATTTATAGAATTATTAGAGATGTTTATAAGTTGGTCACCATCGGGTATGTCATTAATTGAGGATCCATAACTATGTGAATAAAGGTATCTATTGATGATAGAGGAAGGATATGAATTCTCTATTAGAATATTTCTCAATAACTTAAAGGATTCCCTTCGATTAATTGGATGTGTCAATTTATTTAATCTAAAGCTTAAAGCTTTTATAAGGTTTAGTTTGTATTTCATAGGATGACAGGAATGGTAGTTAAGGAACCTATTAGAGGCCATTGATTTTCTATACCAACTTGTGGTTAGGGTGTTGTCTCCCATTCTGATGACACGCATGTCAAGGAAGGGTATACTATTGGTGGTAGTGTCCTCAAGTTCAACAGTGAACTGTAAATGAGGATCAAACTCATTAAAGTGGGATAGGGTACCCTGAACCTTGTCAGGTGGTAGGGCTAATAATAAATCATCCACATACCTTTTAATAAAAGGGATTTGAAAATCCAAAAGACCCAAACGGCCAGAAACCAAATCATCCAATACAAAGTTAACTAGGATGGGAGAGATTGAGGAACCCATAGGTGTACCAAATGTTTGAAGGTAAAATTTGTCATCAAAGACTAAAAAATTAGTGTCAAACACAAGTTGTAACAGTTCTGCAAATATATCCCAAGACACCGGGCAGTTAGGTTTGATAGAATTCCAATGGTTTTTTAGGGAAGTAATTACACTGGACAAAGGTAAGTTAGTGAAAAGAGATACCACATCAAAACTTACTAAAATGTACCCTTGAGGTAGTTGAAAATTGTTAATAAATTCACTAAAGTTGAAAGAATCAACAATGTTGAAATCATTGTTGTAATTATATGATTTAGACAAGATGTCTGTTAGAAATTTAGCTATTTTAATATTAGGTGAGTTAATAGATGACACAATAGGTCTCATGCTCAACGTAGGTTTATGTATTTTAGGTAAACAGTAGAATCTTGGAGCATATCCATCGTAATTATGTAAAGACTTAGCTAAAGGTTGATCTATGATCTTAATGTTTTTTAAATGTGTTATAAATTTATTTATTTTATTTGTGAATTTAGAACAAGGATTAGAAGAAAGTGGTTGATAGTATCTATCATCATCTAACAGTGATTTACTCAAACTGAAATATTGATCTTTGTCCATAAGGACAGTAGCATTACCTTTGTCACTCGTAAGAACGAGAAGATTAGGGTGGGTTTTTAAAAAACGATACCGTCTCCCTGTAAATCTTATCTAACTCTGATAAGGGTTGCCTAGGGCGTTTAGTGAAATTCAACAAGATGTTGTTCGAAGAAGACCTAAGAGATAGAAGGTCGAATTGTCCGCATGAGACAAAATATTCTCAACATCTGCTAAGATTCTACTAATTGAGTAGTCCTTGAACGAAGGTTGGAGGCCAAATTTAGGACCCAAAGATAACAGCTTCAGTATGTCAGGAGGAACCTCAATATTAGATAAATTCTTAATCCACTTAGGATTAAATGGGATTTTCTTGAAATCAGGTGTGTCTAAGTTATTAAGTTTATTTTTAAGTTTAATTATGGATTTATTATAAAAGTAATTAAATTTTCTATGTAGAGAAGCCTCAAAAGTGTCCAACAAATTGTCAGGTAGGTGACTATCCAGAAACGAAGTAACATTATTTATTTGAAAAGTTAAAGATTTAACTTAACTAAGTTAATTTCCATATTTCTAAGGTTCACACAGATATTAAATCTTTAACTTTTCAAATAAATAATGTTACTTCGTTTCTGGATAGTCACCTACCTGACAATTTGTTGGACACTTTTGAGGCTTCTCTACATAGAAAATTTAATTACTTTTATAATAAATCCATAATTAAACTTAAAAATAAACTTAATAACTTAGACACACCTGATTTCAAGAAAATCCCATTTAATCCTAAGTGGATTAAGAATTTATCTAATATTGAGGTTCCTCCTGACATACTGAAGCTGTTATCTTTGGGTCCTAAATTTGGCCTCCAACCTTCGTTCAAGGACTACTCAATTAGTAGAATCTTAGCAGATGTTGAGAATATTTTGTCTCATGCGGACAATTCCGACCTTCTATCTCTTAGGTCTTCTTCGAACAACATCTTGTTGAATTTCACTAAACGCCCTAGGCAACCCTTATCAGAGTTAGATAAGATTTACAGGGAGACGGTATCGTTTTTAAAAACCCACCCTAATCTTCTCGTTCTTACGAGTGACAAAGGTAATGCTACTGTCCTTATGGACAAAGATCAATATTTCAGTTTGAGTAAATCACTGTTAGATGATGATAGATACTA